TGTCGCGGTCACACGAATGGGAGCTAGACCATTGGGTTCGCGACATGCTATTTCACCGATGGGGCCAGCCAGACATCGACCTGTTTGCCACACAACAGAACAGGGCATGCATGGCCTACTGTTCCAGAGCGGGGATGGGTCAAGACTCGCTTGGGGACGCTTTCATGATCCCCTGGACAAATATGACTTTTTATGCTTTCCCTCCGATCCCACTGATCGTGAGAGTGTTGGCAAAAATCATTCACAAAGGGGCCACAGGGCTACTGATCACCCCCTGGTGGTCACGCCAGCCATGGTTCTCAACTCTCCTTCACGTTTCCCAAGAAGAATTTCTCCAACTCCCTCTTCTTCCTTATCTTGTTACCCAGAGGGAGGGCACGATCCGCCACCCAGACTTGCTGTCGCTGAAACTGACTGCATGGAGGATATGATGACCAGCTGCGATACATCGGTATCGACACCACCAACCGTCCCGGCCATTCCTGCTCAGCAGAGTCTACACCCAGACCTACAGTATATTCTCAAATCTGCGCTACGACCATCTACTAGGAAGTTGTACGCGGCAAAATGGCAGAGATTCTCTAACTTTGCCAATTTACACTTGTTTCCGGCCTCCTCGGCTTCTGTTTCACAGATACTTCAGTTTCTCTTTGAATTGCATCACTCTGGACTCAAACCTTCGTCCATAAAAGTTTATACAGCAGTGATTTCACATTACCGGGGAACTATACATGGTCTCTCCATTTTTGCTCAACCTCTGCTTAAAAGATTTTTGAGATGATTGAGTAATCTGCATCCAACTATAAGACCTCTAATGCCCACCTGGAGTCTTTCGGTGGTTTTACAAGCGCTGACTCGATCACCTTTCGAACCTATGGTGACGATCGATCTACGCCTTGCTTCATGGAAGACTGCCTTCCTTGTTGTAGGGACTTCAGCCCGTAGATCCTCTGAACTCAGCGCCCTTCGGGTAGGCCCCCCTTTCCTAAATTTTCATAAGGAAAAAGTGGTTCTTTGGCTGGATCTGTCTTTCCTTCTGAAAGTCGCTACTTCGTTTCACATGCAACAGGAGATTGTTTTACCGGCATTCTTTCTGGCCCCTTCGAATCCGATAGAGCAATCTCTACATATACTGGACGTTCGTCGTTGCTTAGCTTTTTATAGGTCCAGGACTGAGTCTGTTCGGCGTTCTAATAGACTTTTTGTGAAATATTCGGAACATGACCGAGGCTGTCCAGTCACTTCACAACATCTTTCGAAATGGATAGTAAATACAATTGTCCTGTCTTATCAGTTAGCTAAGTGGGACTTGCCATCTACTCCAAGAGGTCATTCTACAAGAGCTGTTGCTGCTTCTTCGGCCTTTGCATCAGGGGTCCCGATAGAAGATGTGTGCAGGGCGGCCATTTGGGCTACCCCGTGTACCTTCGCCAGACATTATAGACTCGATGTCCGTGCCAGGCAGGATTGCTCTTTTGGCAGAGCTGTCCTTTCTTCTGTCCTTCGCTGATGACACCTCCCTCCTCCATTTGGGGTAAGCTTGTTATTCTGCCCATATGTGTGATGCACAGAGGCCATGACGAAGAAGAGCAGGTTGCTTACCTGTAACTGATGTTCTTCGAGTGGCCATCTGTGCAGTCACACAACCCACCCTCCGACCCCGCTTGGTGTCATGGGTGGTCCGACTCTTTCTTTCGATACTATGATCTCTTTGCTTTATGTTGTACCACTACTGAATTTGGCTGTCTTGTCATACTGACAAACCTTATTATAAGAACAAACGTCGATCTTTCAAAGACTGGAAAATGGTGGACACTCTGCTCCTTATATAATGCTAGGGGGAGGGGGAGCGGAGTTCCCGCCAAAAACCGTTAGCTGTTGATCTTCCGGCCAAAGGCACTGCACAGGCGCAGAACCCATATGTGTGACTGCACAGATGGCCACTCGAAGAACATCAGTTACAGGTAAGCAACCTGCTCGTTCCTATTTTCATTAGCAAACCCAGCTTGAAAAGGATCATTGAAACAGCTTCAAGATATGGAACTGCTTTGACCATTAAGATAAATCATATTTTTATCATGATGTCCAAGTTGGGTCATTGTATCTATTTTAACATTTGTAAAATTACACAAAAATGACCCACAAGTGGTCCATAGGACATTTGGCCAATGCTGAAAGGAAGTGCTGCTTTTTGGAAGGGAGCTAGCATTTTGTTTGTTGCAAGGAGTACTTCAGCCAACAACTTGGTTGCTTGTGCAGCTTCTACCAACCAATTGGTACATTTCACTAACATTGGCTGTCTTGGATGTGTTGGAGCAAATGTGGTAACTTTTTTTTGTCAGGTTCTATTGCAGCAGTGTTTCGTAGCAGAAGTATTTGCTTTAAATCATAGAAAATTACGTGTTGAGTGCAAAGGTCACATTATTGTGTGAAATATAAAAGAAATATGCTTAGCTTCAGAATGAAGGTAAGAAAGAGTGCCCCAAAAAAGTATTTTAAATCAGAGACCTGAATAAACTGATGCCATAGAAATATACAGTGATGATGGATATTGAGCACCATGCGTTACTTTAGCAATAAGTACCATCCTGTGTAAAGCGAGCAAGATGAGCTAGCTTACTAGATTACATGTCAGTTGTAAACTGGTGAGCAGAAAAATCCTGTGGCACCTAGACAGGGGTCTGGTGTGTTGTAAGATGCCTTGGAAGAGGAGATCCAGTCCTGGGTCCCTATACCCCTGCCTTCTCCCTAGCACCTTCTGGCCACTGCTGCATAAGGCTCCATGGTGTTTCTTCAGTTCAGTTTGGAATGGGAGTGAGGTCATGCTAGTTGATTAAATAGGGAGGTGAGAGAAAAGCCTGCACATCTCAGAGCAGGGGTGGGCAATTAATTTTCCTATGGGGCCACATGAGAAACTTTGACAGTTGTTAAGGGCTGGACCAATACACTTACAGCTCTGCTCAATATATATCTCTATAAAAACAGTAAATGAAACATTACAATGATACAATGAAAATGTGGAGCAGAGAACAACACTATTTAACTAATATTCACAAAAACATTAACATTACATGAAAAGCAATAAATTCAATTCAATTTAGCAGATCCTTCAGAATAAAAGCAGTGCAGTTGTATTGCTCGCATCTATATTACGATGATATATATTTGCATTGACTTTTAATTTGCCAGTGACCTCATGCGGGCCAGTCAGTGTCAGCCATTGGGCCAGATGTGGCCCGCGGGCCGTACAATGCCCAGGTCTGTCTCAGAGCCTCCTCCAGCAAAGACAGACTTTTTAGAGAATGGAGAGACAAAAAGCTCCTCCATTGTTCCTCCCACCTGTCAGCATCACCCTATCATAAAATAGCATTTTCAGGTGCCTTCAGATCCTTCTGTTGTCTGGTCAGTGGAATTGTGCCCTATGTTTACTAAATATCAGACACATTGATATACCAGGTTCTGTGGTGATTAAAATCACTTTCAGATAGGACCTATAGTTTGACCTTTCTCAACTGGGGTTCTCCGGAACCCTAAGGTTCTGTGAGATATCACATGGAGAAAAATAAAATAAACAATACTTTGTGTGTATGTGTGTGTGTTTATAATATAATATGTACACACATGTGTGATTACCTGAGGAGCCCTTCTGCTTGCCCCAGTTGCCTAGGAGTTGGGAGGGGTCCCACGGGGAGTCCCTGTCTACAAGGAAGGGGCTGGGGCAGGAGGTATATCTGCCTCAGGCTTGTGGGGAGCAGTGTGGTGGCAATTCTGTGTGACCACTGAGGTTAAGCGGTGAGAAATAGGCTCTAGTCAGTGAGCGGTGGAAGGAAGATGTGGTGGGGCCTCCATCTGCCCCTGGGGCTATCTTGGGAGGAGAACAAGAAGGTTAATGCCATTGCAGGGCTGGTGAATCCTTTCTTCAGGCAGATTAGTTTGGGCTAGAGGCTTGTTCCATGAAGCAGTTGTTATGGGAAGGGTTATGGGAAGGGTGGCAGAGTGGGATGTCACATTAATAAAATAACAGTAATAATGCAAGTAAAATTAAATTGTGTGGTACTCCTGAGTGCCTGTGCATAGGTTGGACTGAAGAGTGTATAATAATAATTATAATTATCATGATTTTGTAATAATTTATAGTAGTTTTTATGTAGGAGTACCCTGAGATATGGATATGTTTGTTTAGTTGTTAAGTCGTGTCCTACCCTTCACCACCCCATGGCCTACATTCCTCCAAGTTCCCCTATCCTCCACCATCCCCCGGAGTCCACCCAAGCCCACACCCACCGCCCCAGTGACCCCATCTAGCCACCTCACCTCTGCTGTCCCCTTCTCCTTTTGCCTTCAATTGTTCCCAGCATTAGGATCTTCTCCAGTGAGTCCTTTTTTCCCATTAAGTGGCCAAAGTATTTGAGTTTCATTTTCAATATCTAACTTTCTAAAGAACAGTCAGGGTTGATTTTCTTTAAGATTGTCTTATTTTATTTCTTTGCGGTCTTTTTCTTTTTTAAAAAAAAATTTCTTTGGTCTTATTCAATTCTGCTTCTGGAGAAGCTTTGCTTTTTCCTTAAGTTGTTAGAAATATAAAACTCAATTTTAAGCATGATTTTATCTAATAATTTTATGAAGAAGTATGCTTATGCAATGCTAAGCTAATAAATTAGTTTATGGTATTGGCAATATAAATATCTTTTGCTTATGGTTTCATATAATAGCACAGGGAAAAGGCTTCCATGCTGGCCCTGAAGAACAGGAATTGCTGAGTTTTATACTTTCTTTGTAGTATTTTTAAATTGTCCTAACCGTGTGCCCAAGTCCTGCACTTTTAAAGGAGGGTTTTTGACTTGAATCTGTGTGTACAGAATGTTAGCAAGAATGTTCCATAAGATTTGACAAGAAGCAAGCATATGGTATTTACTTGGTGTAATCTCTTGTATAAATCTAGTCAGAAATCACAAAATGTGCAATTTACATATGTTTAACTGATGGAAATTCTTTTGTAGTTTGCTAAAATTCAGATTTTGGGGATAAGCGTCAAGAGGACCCAATCAGCAAGACTGCATGGATAATTAAAGTTTCCAAAAATGTGCCATGAATTGTTACCCTTCTACTGGAATCCACAATTTGAAGATGGTAAGAGACTATTTTTGTTCTGTCTAGTGTTTTAGAGGCAATCTACAAAGTGAATAAACAAGCAATTTAAAAAATCTCACTGATGTTTAGTTGGTATGGGACAAAGGTCTTTGGTATGTCAGGAACACTTTCTATCTGCCCAGTTTGCATGCAATGGCAATCCTGGATTGTTGTGAAGGAAATAGTGTGTGTTTTGCATGAATCAATTACTCCTTCTGCCAGTGGGAGAAGATGCTGTACCTTTGGTTTGTTTATTCTGATGTCTGAACCTGGAATTCAGACTTGTCTGCCCCGTTGTATAATAAAAGTCCTTCCTGTTTCTCTCCAATCAAATATAAATACGTATTTTCAGGCCTTCATTTAATATCTCTGCATTATAAATGCAATACGTCTTTCTTTGTCTTGTGCCCCAAGCAAGATTTTTAAAATTTGTGTTTATCAAGTTTTTACAGGAACATTTCTATCATGTCTTATAAATAAATAAAGGAAGAACTATGCTGGATTAGAGGAATTGCCGGCTAGTACAGGTTTCTACTTATACCATAGCCAGCCAACCCACATTTGTCTGTGGGAAACCCACATTTAGGACATGTATACAGTAGTACCTTCCTGTTCAAATTCTTCAGCAACTGGTATACAGAGATTTACTAACTCCAATACTAGAGAACATATATAGCCATCATGATGAGTAGCCATTGATAGCCTTATCCTCCATTTATATGTGTAATCCCATTTTAAAGCCATCCAAATTGGTAGCCATCATTAAATTTTGTGGTAGTAGATTTCATCGTTTAATTAGGTACTGTTTGAAAATGTTATATAATTTTATTTGTCTGGAATTTCCAAGTTTCAGGTTTCTGTGAGGATCCTGTAGTCTAGTATTATGAGAGGGGAAAAAATGTTTCCCTAACTACTTTCTCTGCATTAATATCATTGAGCTACTTTGCATGATCACTGTGGCTTGAACAAGCCACTGTGTTCTGTTGCAGCTGAGGCACACACCAGGTATCATTTGCATTATCACCTGCTTGTTGCAGCCCACTGTGTCATTTGAACCCAGTAGAATAGCTTGTGGGTGGAAGAAACAACCCTCAATGCAACTAATGGGTTGTTTTCTCCTCCAGCAAGCCAAGCTGCCCAGGTTTGGATAATTGGACAAGTTGCACCCATATAAATCAGGTCATTGCTTCATCTTTCCTGATCAGCTCTGTAATGATCAATAAAGGTATAAGTTCTAGTCAGACTCAGACATAGTGGGATCAATAGTCAAACGGTAATTTTTGAGAACTGAAATTTCTAAACGTGCTTTACCTGAGCAAATATATAAGTTTGGATGGTTATCCCTTGCTTCATACTCATGGTTTTATGAAGCCCTGAATGAGTGCTGAGCTAGCATGCACCTCTCTCATCCAATGCACCTCTCTCATCCAATCCCTCCACTTCTCTTATTGTATCCTGGCTTTGGCATGGAGATCCTGGCTTCAATTAACCCAGAGTTTCGTGTTACATCTAAGCTAGGGGATTCTGGGTTACTCCTGGTTAACAAATCAAGACAGTATGTCAGCATCCTGATTCATTATTCTGACATTACCCATTTTGGATGTGGCGAATATTACCAGATTAATGGAAGCCAAGGTCTCTTTACCAAAGCTAGTATACAGCATGAAGGGGGGAGGGACAAAGGGGCCTGCTTAGTGACAGCATCAGAAATCATTCCATAAATAAAAGGAGGGTTGTGCCACTGAACAAACAATTCAATTCTGCAGAAATTATATATTTAAACATTTATATACTGCTCCATTTCTAAGCATATTCTAAAGAAGAAAACAATAAAGGATTAAAAGATATACTTGCAAGGGATGTTAAAGTATTTTATTCTGCACTCCCAGGATTGTTAATATAGAATTGGTTTCTCACAATTTTCTTTGTCCCATTTAAGTCAAGAACTATTACAGCTACCCAGGAATGTCTCTGTACATGAATATTATCAGGCTCCAATTCTAGCAATAAATTAGCTGAAACTTCGGTGACAGGAAAATATACAAAAATAGTACAGTTCTGAACTTTTTATGGATAAGCAGCTAATCTCTCCAGTATATTGGAAGCTTTTTCTTGAAAATCTTCTAATGTGATGGCTGTGTCTGTTAAGTCCCAATTCAGAAAGAAGACGGAATTATAGCTCATATTCTTCCATAGTTTAATTTTCTTCTAGGATTGCTAGGTTCAGAATGGCACAAAGCTTGTGTGCCTTGAATAGCTGCATAAAAAAAAAAAAAAGAATTACATATTACCTTTAGGCTACTGTCGCTCTAGCTGCCACAGTGTACTCTACTTCATAGTTATATAAAAGGGTTATATAAACAAGGATTTATTTTTTTAACCCCCCACACCATGAAAGTTGTAAAATGAAGCACAGATCAAAATGCAGAATTATTTGGGCAACTACAGATCATTAGATTCTGAAAAAGAAAGAGCAATGCATTTTTCTTTGAAGTTCTGTAGTGGAGAAAAGCTATACATGCCAACATTTTATTTTCTGTGCTACTGCTAAAGACACATGTCCATTCTTTACTATGGAACACTGTACTCATTGGTTGTTTGCAGACAAAAACTGTGAATGAGCCTTGGGCTTCTTTCTCTTCCTCCATTCTGGCCATAAGGAGGGATTGGGAGCTTCTGCATCTGTCCTCAGTGGTTCTTAATCTAGCATTATGTCTGAATATGAACAGATATGGCAACTATTCTTTGCTGAAACAAACCAATTTGAAGCCATGGTTTGTGGAGTTACATTCTTTCAATAAATCATAGTTAAAATTAGCATTGTTTTGGATCTGGATGTAACATTAAATGGTGGTTAATTGTAAGTGAAAGTAAAAGCTCCTGATTTCATCCTCAGGCCCACACTAAGGGAAGAGTAGAGGGGGAAAGTGCATGTGGCTGAAGCTTGTTCAAACAATGGTGAATCAAGGGTTCTACTCCCCATGGATGAGTGTATGTGCCCCTTCAGCAGTTTCCATTTGTTACCCTACAGAGTAATTTTACCATCTTGGCTGGTTTTCAGATTAGTGATAGCCTTACCATTGTGATTCTTGCTCTAGAACTGAGTTGGATTACTATAGCACAGTATGTATGCTGCCCTTGAGGAGAGTTTGGGTACTTTATTTTGTGCAAAACTCAGCAAATAGAATTCTGACTGTTGCATCTTGTTGAAATGAATTATCTTACACCATTTTGTAAGAAATTGCATTGGCTCCACATTCTCTACTGAGCCCAATCCAGGGAACTGGTTATCACCTTTAGAGACTGGAGAGCTGAGATTGGAACCCTGTGCCTATCTTGTGCCCTTCTTGCAAGAGTTGGGCAGTGTGGGAGGAGGACAGAGATAATTTTTCCTTCTAGTAATAATAATAACAACAACAACAAGAAAAGTAAGCCTCTCCTCTCTGCTGCTTTCCTGGGCCACTGGTAAGCTGCTTCCTTGATATCCTGTGGATCCTTGGGGTCATAAGATTGCTTTGTTAAAACTACAAGTGGTTTGGGACCCAAATACCAGTAGGACTATCCTGTTCAGGCATACTATCTAGCTCATACATTAAGCTCTTCAAAGGAGGGCTTTCATTAAGTACTATGAGTGGAAGAAAGACACTTTGCATTTACAGAAGAGTAAGTCTTCTGTATGGTGGCACCTCAATTTTGGAATGCCCTCCCAAAGGAACTTAAGATTGGTGCTAGCTTAGTTTTCTTTTTGGCTTTAAATTAAAGTGTTCTTTTTTGCTCAAAAATAGTTGAAAAGTTGGAACATTTTATGTTTTTCTTTGATTTTCTGGTTGAAGAGTTACTTTGTATTTTTTTGTCTTTTGCTTTGCATTTATATAGTTTTTATATTGTTTTATTTCTGTGCACACTAGCCTGGGATCGCTTGTGGATGAGGAGTAGTCTATAAATGTAAAAAATAAAGTCATACTGTTATATACTGATATGTAGGCCATGCTTTGTGTTTGTAGTAAGACAAACCTAACCACAGGTCCTTAAAAGGCGAAAGAGAATGGCTTCTGAATGATAGAGAAGACATGAAAACTCACTATAAGGAAACAATGTATAGAGATATTCTTTGGTTTCCCTTGTGTTCTTTAATATCTCTTTAAGTATGTTGAACTCAACCTTTGAGTACTTAGAGATAAGCCCTTATCAACCAGCAGTTAAAATAACAAACCCTCCCATATTGCTGAGTTGGACAGAAATTCCCAAAGGCTTCTGAGGCTACAGTAAATGAGTACAAATGTTATACAAATCAGCCTTGACTGGAGCAAAGTTTAGTCATTGAAGAGATCCATTGCAACAGGACATTTTGCATTGTTCTGTGTAGTCTGGCAGTGTACAGTGAGTATTTTAGTTAGAATGTTTAGTTTTTAACTAAGTAGATTGCCAGCCTAGATTGATAAACAGATTCTTCTAGTAAATAAGTGATTTGTGAACAAATGTCAGGACTTTGTTTAGGTTGGGTGGGGTGAGCTAGTGGGTTTCCCCATTTGTGTGTTATGAGTGAGGAAGGCACTTTCCAAAATCAATCAGCCATAACTAGCAGAAGGATCTCTTTGTCAGAGTATGATAACTACCGTATTTTTCACTCTATAAGATGCACTTATTTCTCCCTCAAAAGTAAGGGGAAATGTCTGTGCGTCTTATAGAGCGAATGTGTGTGTGCCCGACGCCCGGGACGCTGCCGGCCCGCCTGCACGATGTGGCACCACCTGGCTGGCATGCGCTCGGTGCGCGCTTCTCCGCCTCCCCCTCCGGCGCAGGTGAGAGCTATACTGCTCAGGGGGAGCGGTGCGGAGGAGGAGGAGCTGCGGGCTTTAACCCGCCGGCCGCACGGAGAGAGACTGCTCACCCCCACCGCCCGGGAAGACCTGCCGCCGCTGCTGCGCCGCCCGGAAGACCACCACCAGCACACTGCCGGCCTGGCTGGCACCACACCTGGCCGGCACGCACTCGGCGTGCCCTGCTCCGCCCCCCTCCTCCAGCGCTGGTGAGAGCTGTTAATCACAGGTCGGTGTGTGTTTTCAAATGGCAACCCGTCTTTTAATGAAGCCCATGGGAAAGTGATGGGGAATGTGGCTGTGATTATCAGGAAGCTTTCCATGGATCCCTCCTCTAAAAACTAGGTGCATCTTATGGTCAAGTGCATCTTATAGAGCGAAAAATACGGTAAATCTTGACAGTATTAGCTTCATGTTTCTTGTTTTCTTGTGAGATGTTTTATAATGCTCTTGAAAAAAATGTTACTTGAACAGGTGTTTTGCAGAATCATTATTTATAAGCATTTATATTTACAGTGAACTATTTTAAAATACCTTACTGTGTTCAGAATAGTATTTCTGTTCTATATAGGTTTGCTTTGGCTCAAATAATTAAATATCCCAAACTGATATCTCCTAACTCTTTGCATGTGTTTGTGATAGGAACACACTCATACTCCTTTACATTGGTACAAGTTATAGATGATTTTTTTCTGGAAAAAGTAGACAAATGCAGTTAAGCAACACTTACCTGTTGTTTTCTTTGAGACTGTTTCAATTTACTATACATTTGCCAAGCATTTTTTAGTTTGGGTGGATGACAAACATTCCCTGAAAGTAAACAGTACTGTTTTCAATTCAATTTACTTTCTTCATTGGGTGCTTTTAAAAATACCTTAATTAGGGGATGTGATCCTGTCTTGTATGCACATTTTAAAGGGGATATGAGAATTGAGAGAAACCAAGAGGATTGTTGCCAGGAAGCCAAACTCAGTAGACTGGTTTCTTAGCCAAGGTAGAATGATCAAAGCTGAGACATCAGAGTAAGATGGATCCATCTTCTTCAGGAGGAACACAGTCACTTGAGCAGAAGGTAATTGGTATTGAGGTCAGAGAAACTCCTCATGTATGTTTAAAGCTAGTATGCTGTAGTGGTAGTTGAAAGCACCACTGATGGAGGATCTTTCATAGGCAATGGCAGTGATGCTCAAGCTAACTTTGGTTAGTACTGTGCAGAAGAAGGCTATGAACCATTTCTGAAAGTTCATAATTTAGGATATGCAGATGATACCTTATTGCAGGCAAAAAGCAGCCATGAACTGAAATGACTCCTGATGAAGGTGAAAAAAGGATGTACAAATGCAGGGCTACATCAGAGCATTAAGAAAACAAAAGTCACAACCACAGAAGAATTTCAGAACTTTACTGTCAATGGTGAAGAAAGTGACATTGTGAAAGTACTTGTATACCTCAGATCAGTCATCAATTCAAAGGGAGACTGCAGCCAAGAAATTTGGAGAAGAGTGAGACTTGGTAGGGCAGCAATGACAGAACTAGAAACGATCATCAAGTGTAAGGATGTTTCACTGGAGATCAAGGCCAAGATCATCCACACTATCATGTGCCCAGTCAGTGTGTCTGGGTGTGAAAGGTGGACAGTAAAAAAGCTGGCAGGAAGAAAATTAATGTGTTTTGGAGGAGGTGGAGAGCCCTGTAAATATCCTGGACCAACAGAAAGATTGATATGTGGATCCTAGATCAAATCAAGTCAGAGCTTTCCCTTGAAACAAAAATGACAAAACTGATGATATCCTACTTTGGGCTCATCATGAGATGGCTGGAGAAGATAATCATGCTAAGGACTGTTGAAGGCAAAAGCTGAAAAAGGCAGCTAGCTGTAAGATGGATTGATGGCATACAGGATGCCACAGTTTGACTTTTCAAGAGTTAAACATGGTTGTCAAGGATAGGGTCACCAGAAGTAAGAGATGAGTTGATGACATCAGAGAGCAAGAACAGCAATAACAGTGGGGATGTGATGGATAAAATATGACTCAGTTTCCCCCCCTATAATTTCTAATGACTTTCTTTGCTTTGTAATTTGAACTTGGGATTGCACTGACTGTACATTATGTCTGTACCACCTAATAAGATGTGCAACTAGAGGGATTCATTTGATTTGTACCCTGCATTTCTACCAAAAATGGCACTCAGGATTTCTTTAAGCATGGAAAGTTATCTCACATCTCCTATATCTGATATAGTTGCCATGTTTTTTGGGTTTGTTCAGATGGGCGATAAATTAGTAGATGTGAAAATGGACATAATGTCTTAGGAAACATATTGATTTCCATGAATTCCATGTAAAATCCACAAAAAATGAGTGCACACTGATAGAACTGATGTGTGCCTTAGAATCTGGAACGTTGACTGTGTCTCCCCAGAATCGGATTATATAGTCTTCATTCAAAATGTCTTGTTGGTGTTACTTTTTACCTGAACCAATAAACGTATGTTCAGAACCTACACAGTTCAAACCAAGCCTTCCAAAACAAAACAAAACAAGTCTTTTTCCTTGGCTATTTTCAGAAAGAAACATTGGAATGTCTTACTGTTGCTCTTTGAAGAAATCCAGTGCTTGTTCTTTCTCTTTGAAGTTGCACTGAGTGTCAGCTTGGTTTAGTTGATCTAATGTGAAGAGGAAGTCTGCAGAAAAGGACGTGTGATACTGCTGAACCTGGAACAATGATCAGGTACCAGAATGAGCCTTAGTTTTAGAATGGAAAATCTGTTCTACTTGGTCAAATGCTTTTCTTCATTTAGTATGTGGATTCTAGGACTGTCAGGACCTGGGTTCTCTGCTCTGCCAGAGGTAAGCCTCTCAGTTTGTGCTAGAGTGGAATATACTGAGACATGATGAGACTTTTTCTTGCTTCTTGCAAATGGCCTCACTTTTTGCTGAGTTCCAGTGAATGACAACGGGCATCCTTGTCTTGCACCCTTTTGTATCTCTATAGATTGCTTGAAATTATTTCATTAGATAGCATCTTGTATGTGCTATGCCAGTGATGAAGGAAGCACTGATTGTCATTGCCAGTGTAGAGGACTTGATCCCCAGTAGTCAGTTCTCTTACATTAATTGCCTCAAGTTTGCTGTATGCTACTGGAAATATTTTAAAAGCTAGTTTGCTTTAATACATTCCTCCTGTCATCTGGATAAACTGTCTATATAATTAATGGACAATAAATAATTTTGAGGCCCATCAAATCCTCAGTCTGGCTAAATTAACTCCTTGCCCAGAATCTTTTCAATTGATAAAATCCCCATGTTTTCCTCCCTCCTGCCCTCCCTCTTTTTCTTTTTCTTTTTGTAGAAAAAACCTATATTTAATAATCTGAGAAAATATTCTCCCAGGTGCCTCATGTTTGTCTAATATCAGTCCATTTGGAATTAATAATATTTATCAGTGACTTTGTATAAAATTGTAGCAGTGGCACTGAACCCGTGAATTCAGCATCTAATATATTTTGAAAACAAAGTAATATTGAAACAGTCTCCCCTTGTTTTCTTCTTTGATTCTCATGATCAAAATAAGCCAGCATGACTTATTTAAGCTATGACAATTTATTTAAATTGTGGTGCATATGGGGTGTGAATCATTGCTCAGGTGTAACTGTACCACAGCTACAGTTCCTTATTTTGATTATGCAAACCACTCTTAATTTCTTTACCATCACAACTCTTCTGTTCCTCACATCACATCCCCATTCTCTGCAGTAAGAATAAATTGTCCTCCAAGATTAAATTAAGAAAAACAGTGGTGTCACCCTAATCCTTTACTGGTGCTACAAGAGCCACCCTAACTTTTTACTGATGACTGCTACTTGAATCCTTTCTGAAAAATACACTGTTTAGATAATTGAACATTAGGAGGATTATAATGTGTATCTTTTAAATATCAGAAAATCTACCTAATGTTTTAAATTGAGTTGTATTTTTATATCTATATGTCACATTTTCCTCAGCTAGAAGCTGAGTGTTCTTTTTGGCTATGGAGGAAGCTTATAGCAAGTTAGTGGTACACTTCAAGAAGTTGCTTCATTTTTTAAATTACTTTTGTGGTTGTCAAGTGGAGTCATACTTAGAAAGTTCAGGAAGTTCCCCTTTATTGTGGGTTTGCCAGAGAGTAATGAGAGAGTTGTGATGAATATATGTTGGGCCTGATATGGTGCAGCTTGGGAGCTGATTGGAGTATAGACCACACGTTTTGTGTATATTGTGGCTTTTACCAACTTTTGCTATTCCACTGTGATTTGGAGAGGAGCTGGCACTTTCTAAATAAGGGTTTGCAACATTCACCAAGTTTCTTTTACTGGATGTGCAATCCTAGATTATTTTCGTTTTATGTAATCTTCAAATTTTTATATACAGTTGATTAATAGTGGCTTGACTTATGTATGCAACTTAAAATGAGTAATGATTTAAAAGACTAATTAAAATATTAATTCCAGACTCTGATTTAAAATAATAGTTGTTTATAGCAGATGGTAGATACTTAATAGTGCTTCATACAAGACCTGTTCAGGAAACTGTGTGTGTGGTATGTTTTAGACACGCATACACCATATCATAGAGATGGAGTATTTTCCCATTTTGCAGCTGTGTGGCCGAAATTCATTGTTCTCATTGTTCTGATATTCACCACATAGCTTTGTTTTCATTATCATCTGCTCACATTGGCCCCATGCCCTTCCCAGCTCGTAGGGTCTGTATCGTAAACCTTTGAGGCTGTATTGCAGGGGTTTCATTGGTAGCCTTCGCTTGTTCTGTGATGAGATTTTTCTGAAGAAAGGCAAGCTATAGTTGCCTGCTCCTGATTGGTCACCCCTTCTGACTCTTCTCCACTGTCTCCCCTCTGCTCCCTCCCTTTTAGAGCACGCACCACAGCAGCCTCTGTTCTGAAACCTAAAGCAGTCCGTATACATCCATTCATGAATCTGTGACGTCAGTAGCTTCTGTGTTCTCTCTTGCAGCGGGGTTGCAGGATTGTGTGGGTGGAATTTCCCTTCTGTATATTACATGGCAGGTTTGTGTGTGTTTTGCCATCCATATCGTAACACCAGAAAATGGAGCAAGATTCTATCCATCCCTGTAAGTATATTAAAAAGAAAGTCTGTCTTCCTTCTATGGGTGCAGAATGATCGGTGTTGCCTTGTTGCCATTTATTTCAGAGAAGCCGATGGATTGTATGTTTGGGTGTGAATGTCAGGAAAAATCCTGAAAGCCACCATATTAAAGCTAAGAATATTTCTGTGTCTGGCAGCTGTTTGTCCATTTACTTGTCCGAAGCGCCTATGTAGACATGTTTTATTTGCAGTTCTTGTGGTTGTGCAATAATCCGGCCCTCTGTATAAAACGGGAAGGAATGGATTTCAGAAGGCTGTGAATAAGAGGGGGAAAATTGCAACTGATTTTAGAACAGCAGGCTTCCCTACTCCTACCCCCACCCCCTTTCGTGAAAATGTAATTCTGTTGTCTGCTGGTGTAGCCTAAAATGTATGTCAATACATTTTGGGTGGATAAGGGAATAATTCAAATCAATTTAGCATTGATTTAGCTATTAATTAGGTTTGTATTGATGAAAATAGCTATTCCCATTACTGTGAATGTACTGATTTTAATCATTTTAATTTAAGGTTAAATCAATTCATAGAAATAAAAACTTTCAGCAGCAAAACTCTTAATAAAAACAGTCATTCTTAACAATTAAAGATTATCTGGGCTTTATTCTTCGCAGAGAGCATTATACTTCATAAACAGTCCCACACTGTTTATCTTTACTGAAGTCTAATGTGTGATATCCTTTTTGGGATTTGCTTGCACAACTTTGCTGTTGAAATCAATGAGGGCTCATTTTGAATAATCTTCTAAAAAGAAGGGCAATGCATTGTATCCCCTTCAGAAATGGACTGCAGCATATAAGTCAATAAAGCAATATTAGACAAATTACTTGGAAGTGATAGTTTAGTCTTTGTGAGCCCTGCGAAGTTGCAGCATAGAATTTTCCTCATTTATTGAAAGTGGACATACTTGTGAAGTTGTATTTTTGGCACTGTGCCTAGAATGGAAGAGAAGAAATGAAAAAGAGAGGTTGTTTGATTACAGTGTATGGAATAACCATCCTACCCTTCCTCTCCACTGGAATACCTACCCGTGATTCTCTCGTTAACTCTCTTTGCACTCACTGGGAACCATCAAAGTAGTGGGAAGTGCATGTCAAATGTTCACTGTTATAAAATTAACTCAAATCAGTAGTTTTGTGATGAAAACCCCCTTATGATAGTAGCTTGATGATCAGTTTGTATCTGTGGTTGGTTTCTCAAACAGCTATTAAATATAGTACAGCTTTGATTTGCATGTTCTACGTTCATTAATTCTTAAAAATTAAGCTTGATATTGGCTTAAACTCTACAAATGGATTCCTGATTATGGTTGCAGAGGTCATGATTCCCCAATGCTTTTGTATTAATACTTGCTATTGGATAGATCAAGTTCTTGTTTTGTGAGTTAAATTATATAGAATCTTAGCTTTGAAATTTAAAGTCTGTAGGGCAAGCCAGTGATAACTAAAGTTTCATTGATTTTACTGGGACTAAACCATTACTATCTTTGCTTGAATCTAGCCATTTGTTTCTTTATGGTTGCAGAGAAATATTAGCAGAGGTAGTATGAAAAACATAAGGATCAGAAAAATATTTCAAGTTTTTCAGCTTTTAAAATTCTAAACCAATATATCAAGACTTTTAATGAGCTTTTCATGTTTTAAAGGTAAACATTTTTGGTTTAGTAGGACTGAACCACACGCAATTCTTGCTTTCACAATGTGAAAGAGCAATCTGCTGCCATGTGCAGCCTTGGGCATCTGTTACCCGTGAAAGGGTAAGGAAACTAGCAAACAATAGCTTTGTGTTATGTCTGGGATTGGTTAAGTGGTGCCCAAACAAGCCAGGAATGAAAGAAGCTTTAAAGGCTGGCTTCTGAACCTGGTGTGTTTGGGGGTATGTAACCATAATACAGTGAGTGTGGTAAGAGTGCCAGACTGGAACTCACACAATCTGGGTTCTAGTCTTCCCTCAGCCATGGAGTCAACTGGATGACCTTGGGCCAGTCACAGGCACTCAGCTTACACTACCTCACAGGCTTGTTGTGGGAATAAGATTGAGAGCAGGAGAAAGAGAATAATGTAAGCCACTTTCAGTTCTTTAAAAAAATAAAAATGTGAGATAGACATCTAATAAATAATCCTACCTAACATGAACCTTCCATTTCATCTCAGATTATTCTGAGGAATTAAGGCAGAGTATTGACAAAAGTTAAAATGTTCAACCTTTCTGACAAACTGAAAGTCCACAAGACACCCAGTCATGATGGTATCCATTCTAGAGTTATCAGAGCACTCAAATATGAAATTGCTTATCTTCTAACTAAAATATTTAGCATGTCCTAAAAATTACCCCTTGCAGATTGGAGAATGGCCAATGTAACACAATTTTAAAAAAGGGATCCGGGTGGGATCTGGGAAATTGCAGGCCACTTAGCTTAACATCTGTTCTGGGTAAACTGCTTGAAAGCATTATTAAGGATAGAATCAGTAAGCACAAAGAGGAACAAGCCCTGCTCGGGGTGGGGGATCAGCATGGCTTCCTGAAGGGGAAGTCTGATCTCATTTACCTGTTAGAGTTCTTTGAGAGTGTCAGTGAGCATGTAGACAGGGATGATTCAGTAGGCATTGTTTACTTGGACTTCCAAAAGAATTTTGACAAAGTCCCTCACCAAAGGCTCCTGAACAAACTAAGCAGTCATGTGTTTGGGGATCCTCTTTTACAAGGGTTCTGTAATCATGCTTTGGGAGGGGGCAAGGGACTTTGAGATTACCAGTCTTCCTAAACAGTCAAGCTTCACTATGAGAAAAGCATCAAACTGGTTTCTAATTAACATTTCCCAGGCCCTGCATTTATCCTTCTGAAACTGCAGACTTCTTGCCTGGAAACACCTCTGTGATACATAAGATGTGAGGTTTCCTCTTTCACACAGACTTTCGTACCTGCTATTCTGAAGAAAAAAAATTTTTTTAGCCACTTCAGTGCTGACTTCCATTTTCAGAAGAATGGTTCACAATGAATATAGGAGGGCAAACAAGTCCTGATTTAGATATTCTCAATGAAGAGGTTGCCTTGCACAAAATCTCTGCGCATGTATATCTGAAATTTGGCAGGCTCAAACTTCATTGACTTCTGCCTAGGAATATAAAGAGTTATCTGCAATTTCCTTAAAAAATAAAGGTGCATAACAAAGATGCATCTAAATTTTCTAAAATTTGATAAGGATAATTCTTAGGGGCTTCTAGGCTTGCAAACACCATCAAGTTCTTATAGACAGAAAACAAGGTTACAGCCTTTAAACATTTTGTTTTCAGTGATATGAATGAATCCTTAGATTTCCAAACCTTGTTTCAGTTGTAGAACCCACTTGTGATAGCCACGTCAATGTTAATGCCGTCTAAACTAGTCCCAACAGAACTAGACTGTTTCAGAAATGCTGAATTGGCTTCAACGTCAAATCTGATGGCACACCTGCAATATTTATAAAAGGAATACATGTAAAAGGCTGCACTGGTGATTTCTGCTGAGAACTCAGTAGACAGTATGAGAAAGTGAGTTTTTCCCCTCCCCACCACCTTTTATAGCCATACGTATTTATTTCAGTACTGCAACAACTTTGCTTGATATTTCTTATATGGTACAAATACAGAGATGATAAAGTACAGAATACAAATTCTGCTATATGGCACAAGATGAAACAAAGTATTTCATTTTCATGCTGTACCTTTTTTTTTTTTTTTTGGTACGAGATCTTGAAGTCTAAAAATCACGTCAGTGGTACTTCCATAATATTAATGAAGGATGCTTCCATAATTTTCCAGCATAACATTAAAGAATACATTATTTGCTGTTACCCGGAAGTTATTATGCAACCTTATTTATTTCCAGTGATTATGCAATTCTAGATTGTGAGCATAAAAACGCTCTGAATAGAAACAGTGCTAAAAATATCTTTCATATCACATGGGAAGTGTATACATTTTATTTAGTGTTCACAGAATAAGAGAGATATTACCTTGGGCCATTTAAAGCTGTCAAGAGTTTATGTCTGTGGAAGAACAGCTCTTTTGAGAAGTCCATTCTCGTATCATAGGAACTGAATTCTGTCCTCCTGATAATTCTTATAGGGATATAATTAACTTTGGACTTATGTGCCAGAGGAAAGATACAAACTAGATGTTTCCTATGGATTGATAGATTTACAAAACAGAAGTTGTATGAGTGGATTGGACACTAACAGAAAGATAACATGGCATGAAAAATGAGAACAGGAAAGGCACATGAAGAGGTATTCTTATTGGTTTTTCAGCTCCCGAGTGCTGGAGTGCTTCCAGACAGAGAGCTTTTACTGCAACAATTAGAAGGCCCCTTAAAATTAGAGTTTTGCTTTTCCTTGAGGTGCTAGGAACTTCAGTTCAATAGTTAATGAAACTTGGGACTTGTAACCCCCCCCCCCCCCAAGGAATCTCTCTTGGAAGGGGGAAAATTGAGGGAGTGTTCCTAAAACACCCTTTTTGGCTGCTGTTTTTTTTTTTTTTTTAGGAGAGTTTGTGCCTCCGGGTTATCTACACTTAGAAAAGGGAGGGCTACTCAGAGTGCTCCCCACAAGTGAAGATTCTGCTGATAAGGTGCTCCTCACCCCCCAGTATTCTCAAGTACTTACAAACTGTGTTTTGCGACGTGCTAGGGTGTTGCTCTTTGGAACATCCACTTTGTATCTCCCAACAGATCTTGTCCGAGAGAGTGATTCCTAGAAATAGGAAATTCTGTGATCTATATGTAAATAATTTGCCTAGCTCTGTGATAGCATCTGGTTTTGTGAGAAATCTGAATATGTGAGGTTAAACAGCAGACAGTGAGTGTGCTGCTGGTGTTGAGAGCAGAAAAATAGGTCTTGTGCATTCTGTCTCCCCTCATCTTCCATAAAATGATTGTTTTTCTTTTGGTGATGGGTGCTTGAGAGTATAAAGGGGCAGGAAGATTGCAAACTGGAGGGGAGGGGAGAGGGCGAGCCCCCTACCTCAGTGCACCTGGGACCATCTTGAGCTGATGATTGCAAAGGTCTGAAGAGAAGTCCCTGTCTCTCCGTCAGGTAGGGAGACAGGAAGCAAAAGAAGCTGGCTATAAGGTGTTTTAAAAATGCTTTGCAAAGGAGTGTGTGTATTTTTGGGAGAAAAATATATTAAAGCTCCTAAGGCTCCATGATCCCAGTCTTCACTGGGGCCACTCATGCTTGCAAGAAAATAAGGACATACACAAATGATGGACTTAAACAGGGTTCTCAGCCATTCCTTTTCTCCAGGACTCCTTGAGAATTGTAGTTTTGTGAAAGAAGTAGGCCTCCAACATAAATGGGAATGTATTTGTATAGGTGCCTGTCTGGTGTGTGTGGATGTGTGCCTGTAGCTGTATATGTGAATGAGAGAGAGAAATGATATGAATAAATGCCTTAGGGATGGAGGTGAGTGTGTGTGAGAATGTAGTTAACTGTCTTGGGGAGTATGAATATATGTTTGTGTGTCATTTTTATTTTGGCTTTGGTGAGTGGTACCAAGTGGTAGTTTATTATAACATGTCTAAATTACAATATAGCGCACATGTTTTAAATGATCAATTGAACTGTTGTTCTTCTGTGCTGTCAAGTCATCTTTGACTTATGGTGACCATATGATTGAAGCCCTCAAAAATGTTCTTTTCATGGTAACCCTGCTCTTGTAAATTTAAGGCAGCGACTTCCTTTATGCAGTCAATCCCTCTCATAGTTGGTCTGCCTTTCTTTTCCTTTCAAACTTACCTAACATGATTATCTTCTCCAGGGAGTTTTACCTTCTCATGATGTGCCCAAAGTATGACACTTTTGTCATTTTTGTTTCTTGGGAAACTTCCGACTTGATTTGATCTCGGATCCTCATATTAATCTTTCTGTTGGTCCAGGGTATTTGCAGGGCTCTCCTCCTTCTCCAAAACACATTAATTTTCTTCCTGCCAGCTTTTTTACTGCCCACCTTTCACACCCAGACACATTGACTGGGCACATGATAGTGTGGATGATCTTGGCCTTGGTCTCCAGTGAAACATCCTTACACTTGATGATCGTTTCTAGTTCTGTCATTGCTGCCCTACCAAGTCTCACTCTTCTCCAAATTTCTTGGCTGCAGTCTCCCTTTGAATTGATGACTGATCTGAGGTATACAAGTACTTTCACAATGTCACTTTCTTCACCATTGACAGTAAAGTTCTGAAATTCTTCTGTGGTTGTGACTTTTGTTTTCTTAATGCTCTGATGTAGCCCTGCGTTTGTACATCCTTTTTTCACCTTCATCCGGAGTCATTTCAGTTCATGGCTGCTTTTTGCCTGCAATAAGGTATCATCTGCGTATCTTAAATTATTGTAGTATCTTTTGCTAATGTTCACATCATTCTCCTCTAATTCAAATCCAGCATATTCTGCATACAGGGAGATAAAATACATTCTCATCTGACATTTTTGCCTATGGGAAACCATTCTGTTCTTCCATATTCTGTCCTAATCACAGTAGCTTCTTGTCCACGATACAGGCTATGCATCAAGTCCAAATGAACACACACATTTCTTTCAGGACCATCCATAGGTTCTCATGATACATGCAATGAAAGAAAGACTTTGCTGTAGTCTATAAAGCATAGAATGACTTTCTTTTGAAATTTCTTGGTGCATTACCATGGCCTGAGTATATTTCCAGAATGATCTCTTCGGATTCCAACTTGAATGTCAGGCAATTCTTTTTCCATATGGAATGAAATTCTTTGTTGCAATACCTTGAGCATGACTTTACTTGCATGGGGAAGCAGTGCAGTAGTCCTGTGCTGACTGCACTCTTTTGCATCACCTTTCCTGGGAATTAGTAGATATCGATGATTTCTCGTCTGTGGACATTGTTTTGTTTTCCATATTTGTTGGCATATTCTTGTTAGGACATGGACTGATTTAGTGCCCAAATTGGATTAGTTCTGTTCTTATCCTTTCTATTGCAGGTGCTTTATTCCTTCCAAGTGCATTCAGAGCAGCTTTCTCTTGGTTTTCTAATGTTGTGGGGTTTTCCTCGTAGGTTTCTTCTTTGAAGGAGTCTGGTGTAGGCCCTTCATCTCCTCTGTGTAGGCCTTCTGTATATTCTTTCCACCTTCTCTAACTTTTCTCATGGTCAGATAGTGGACCATTCCTACTCTAGATTTGTATTTCTCTTTGATTTCCTGGATTTTCTTGTCTCTTGATTTTCCACTTTTGTTGCTCTTTTCTGTTTTTGTTTGCACGGGACATTGTAATAATTCTTTTTGTTTTTGTGTGACAATGTATGAAAAGTTTCCATCAGTAAAGGTAAAGGTAAAGGTTTCCCCTTGACATTAAGTCCAGTCATGCCTGACTCTAGGGGGCGGTGCTCATCTCCGTTTCCTAGCCGAGGGAGCCAGCGTTTGTCCACAGACAGTCTCCATGGTCATGTGGCTTGCATGACTAAACACCGAAGTGCACGGAACTCTGTTACCTGCTCACCGAAGTGATACCTTTTTATCTACTTGCATTTGCATGCTTTTGAACTGCAAGGTTGGCAGGAGCTGGGACGGAGTAATGGGAACTCACCCCATTGTGCAGATTCGAAACGGCGACCTTTCGATCTACCAGCCCAGCAGCACAGCGGTTTAAACCACTGTGCCACCTGCAGTCCCTTCCATCTGTATCCTGACTTAATTTCAGTCACTTCTTGCTTTTGGCTCATGCCTAGCCTTAGGTGCCCTGACTGTTCCTCTAGGCTTTTTCTTTCTTTTTGCTATAGGAATTGTGCTTTGGCATTCTTCCCTGATACTGTTGCTAGTTTCATTTCACAGCTGTTCTGGTTGATGGCCAATTTGTGTCCAAGAACACAAATCTGTTCTTTATAGGGACTTTACATTCCTCAAGGATATTGTTTAAGTTGCGTTTTGGCAGTAGTTTTCTGTTAGTGATCTTTTCAGCATGACTCTGATTTTTGATATTAAGAGTTCTTGGTTACCAGCACAGTCTGCTCCTGATGTTGTTTTGGCAATGAGAATGTAGATTCTCCATCTCTTGCTTACAATTACATGGCCAGTACAGAAATCAAATAGGCTATCTGGTGATTTCTATGTATACTGCTGTCTGGTTAGTTGCCTGAAGTATGTATTTTCAATAAACAGATTATTGACTTCACAGAATTCTATGAGTTGTTATCCTTCTTATCTTACACTTAGGCCAAATTTTCCTATAACATTTGATTTTGCTTTGTTTTCTAATTTTGCATTCTAGTCACCTAGGATTATCAGTAAGTTTTGCTTTAGTGTGTTAACATTTTCCTCTTGAGCACCTGCATAAAAGTTTTCAATTTCTTCTATAAGTTGGAGCATAGACTTGATTGATGATCACCTTAATCAGTTTTCCAAAAATTCTGTCTGAGAATATTAGGTCGGATTTTGCATTATAGCCTCTTCCTGCCTGTGCTACATCTTGCCTCTGTATTAAAGCCACTCCATTTCTTCTGAGTTTTTCATTTTTGAAGTAAAGTATTCATACTTCTCACATTTCATATTTCAATTGCATGTGTGGTTACTCACTTCTGTGCATGTCAGCCACTAGACTTCCTTTGGACTTTGATCTAGTTGCATCATTAATTGCTGTGCTATTTGTACTTGTCCTTTGGTCTTCCCCAGTAGCTCATTGAGTACCTTCCAACATGGGAATCTCATCTTCTGGCGCTATTTGTGATTTCATTTTGGGTTGTTTCATCATAGGATTTCCAATGTAAGAAAATTCAGAAGTGGTTTAGTGTTGCCCTCTTCTGCACAGTACTAACCAGAGTTAGCTTGATCGTCACTGCTGTTATCTGTGAAACGTCCTCTGCCAGTGTTACCTTCAGTTACTGCTGCTGCCCAGGCACTGCTCAGTTCTTGATAACTTTCTCTTCCTTCCTTAGCATTAGAGACATCAGTTCTGCTGATGTAACTATTTCTTCTGAAGGGGGTGGATGCATCGTAATATGGTGTCTCCGCTTTGACCATTCCACCTTCTAGGAGATCAGCCCAGGAAGACAATTTGGCCTCAGCTTCTCTTACTCTCTTAAACCTCTTCACCATGTTCAAGTGCGCATCCTGTGTGGGCAGAAGAGTTATACTCAAACTTTTATTAACAAAAATAATTTCAAATATAAGCTTTTGGTTTTTAAGCAAATTTAAACTTTTGTATTTTCATAGTATGGAAATGCACACTGCCCTTCACAAAGCCTGTACACGGAATGGATAACATTTCTAAGACTGAGCACATGTCTACTATTCTTACATAGTGCTGGTTATATTCAGAGTCCTTCCTCCCATCTGTTAAGAAGCAGTAAAATCCAACAGTGGTTGTAGCATTCTCAGACATACTCTCAGTTACTATGTATACAATCTTATGTGTGTTTAGGCAGGAAAATCATACAATTCCCAACATTCCCCAACCAGCCTTGAACAGTAGATTTGTTTTATTTTTGTTGTTTTGTCTAAGCATGCATAGGACTGTGTCCTACAAAGCCATGTAGCATCCTACTAGTAATACATGTGACATCCTTATAGCATTCATCATCTTGAGTCTGTGTGGTATGAGTTCTATGGTATGAGTTCCCAGCTATTATAGATTCAAAAGACTGCTCTACTTCTTGTGACTCCCTTGGCCCCACCTCTCATGGCCCTGCATTGTACCCCCATCAGCCTCAGTTCATATGAGCTGTCACTGTTCTATCGTTTTATGAAAGGTTTCTTGCGACAGAATGGTGGGGGCTTTGATGGGAAAAGACATTGGCTTAAATGGAAGAACAGAGGCAATTAGATCAGCAGTTCTCAAATTTTTAATTTAAACTGCACTGTACTTTTAAAGTGTATTGTAAATTTCTAAATGTAATTTTACATTGCATAATTCTTATATCCTGTCTTCTATTTCTTTTTCAGATGTTGTGATCAATTTCTGCACTAGGAATGAGCATTCAGGATTTTTAAAGCAATATCTCTGACTGTTGGCTTCATGCACATGCACACCCACAGCACAATGACCAGTTCTCAGGAGCCCCTGGGCTGGTCTTCCTCTACAGCTATTATCACTAAGTCCCTCACTGAAGACAAAGATTTCAGCGGGATGCATGGTGATCATATACCCACTGGTCTTCATCCTTCACCTGAGATTATAGAGGATGTACAAGACAAGGGCTTACTTTACAGCAATGCATCAGAGAACATGAATAGCCCAGTTGCCACAACAGTATTGACCAGTGTAAGTGAGGATTCCAGGGACCAGTTTGAAAATAGTGTGCTGCAATTAACAGAACAAGATGAATTGGAAACTCCCGTTCATCAAAACAACAGTGATGGCATATCTGGAGAGACCAACAGTGGAACAGATGATATCAAGATCCAGTTCAACAGATCAGGAAGTGGAAATGGTGGATTTCTTGAAGGACTCTTTGGTTGTTTGAAGCCAGTATGGAATATTATAGGGAAAGCTTATTCCACTGACTACAAGCTGCAGCAACAAGGTAAACATAGTAAGCAATTCCATGTATTTTAAAAAAGTTTTTAAAAAGTTTTCAGAGGTAAAGCTCTGTGGGAGGGGTATTAGCCCCTAGAATGCTCTTTGTTGTATCCCCGGGTTCATCCTTTTGAATCCATATTTCATTTCCTGATTACATTTAAATAAGTTTAAACATAAGGCATTCAGAAGTTCCAAGACAAAGTAACTGTTCCTTCTGTGCTTCTATTGCTCCTTGTATTGTGCCATTTATTGGCCATCTGCTTTATGACTTTTCTGTTTGTTGTGTGCCAGTGAATGTGGGAATCACTGCATGCAAATATTAGTTTTAAACCCTTTTCCTAGGTTTGGCAAACCATTTTCCCAGTTACTCTGATAACCTTTAAAGCAGTGGTAAATAACAAGTCCTTTCAAGTCAAGGAATGACTTGTTTGAGCTTCTTAAAATATGCATCAGGTAAACGGTAAAAGGTTGTGATACATTTGATTGCTCAATAGGAAAAGCTCCATGTACAGTGGGAGTGAATATTCAAAACTTATTTAACAAAATGAATGTGACTCCTCCTGTTTGCATGAAGTTGATTATCATCTGTGTTCAGCTGCTTGAGAATTCACCTCTGAGCATCAAAGACAAAAATCAGTGTTAGAGATCAGGTTTCCTTTGCTTTACTGATTTCTGTGTGCATAGGAACTACTGATCCTATCACTGAAATCCATCAAGCTATGAATACCTGGGTACAGAGACTTGATGTGTTCTCTGTTGGACATTATATAACTGATACAGAAAGATAAGCAGAAAAAGGTATCCCCAAGAGTCATACAGCTGAAATGTATGCTTATCAATGTGCAGCAGCTTGGTATACTCTGGAGCCCCAGCTCTGAACTCCAAAAAAAAAAAAAAGGGTTTTGGAGATTAATTTTCCTTTATTTTTCTGGTGTCCAGTCACTGTATTTAATACATAATAGCAGCTACCAAAGAACCTTCTTTAGGCTGATGACTTGTTAAAATATTTGTCTCCCTATTTCAGACTTTGTAGTTTTGTGGGAGAAGATGCATTCATGGCTCTTACTGGGCAAACCTAATGGCTAATGAAAGCATTAATTAAGGGAGGTAGTACTTACTTTTTCTTATTTTTTAAAGAAATAAAATATTTTGTATATTTAAGCATTTCCATATAAGCTAACAGAAATATTGAATGGTCTGTTTCTTTGGTGTTTGTCAAAAGACAGCTTTTTGCAATCATAACAACAGGCAGTGCTTGTTTATTATCAGATACATGGGAAGTTCCTTTTGAGGAGATTTCTGAGCTGCAGTGGCTGGGCAGTGGAGCGCAGGGAGCTGTTTTCTTAGGTAAATTCCGATCAGAGGAGGTGGCCATCAAGAAAGTGAGAGAACAAAGTGAAACTGATATCAAGCACTTAAGGAAGCTGAAGCATCCTAATATCATTGCTTTCAAGTAGGTAACACTTTGGTTATCCTGACACTTTCTAAACTACTGTGATCTTTTCAGGCTTGTGTATCTTCATGCCCTGCAATAACAAATACATAGGTTTTTAATAATGGTCTTTCAGTATTGGTGAAAGGAGGCATAAGGAACTCTTTCAGAGAGTGTTGATACTGTAGTTGCTTACTAATTGTATAAATGATAGATAGCTTCAAGAATATTGGTCATTAACAGCAATAAACTTTTATATGCTGTGGAAACACTGCATCTTTTATTATAGCAAGCCTTTTATTTTCTCACCCTTTTTCATTTCATGAAAGCTTCATTGCTGATCTTGCATAAGTTTTTAAAAAGGAGTTGATACAGTGTTTTATCCCTTGTATTCTATCCATATAACCCTGAAAGCTCAACACCACTTCATTAAATTCAAGCATGAATGTTTAGGATGGAGTAGTCTGTTCTGGGGAGACGTTTCATGATTCCACTTACTATTTAGGTATACATCTGACCCTCTGGCAAATATGGAATAGGGGCCTAGTTTCCTAGTTAATAAGTACTCTACAGTTACTATTACTAGGCAAGAGAAATGTGAATTCTGCTGCTTCACTTATAAGCTCCAACTATTCTGAGTTCACTTTTTTTCCTTAGGGGAGTTTGCACTCAGGCACCCTGCTACTGTATAATAATGGAGTACTGTGCCCATGGACAACTGTATGAAGTGTTGCGAGCAGGAAGGAAAGTGACACCTCGTTTGCTAGTGGACTGGTCCACTGGGATTGCTAGTGGAATGAACTATTTACATCTTCATAAAATTATCCACAGAGACCTCAAGTCACCCAAGTGAGTTGCTAGTATATGTAATGTGCAAGGCATTAACAGTGCAACCCTATGCATGTTTAGGCAGGAAAAAAATCCTACTACTCCCAGCAATATGTCTAAACATACATAGGATTCCATCCTAAATAAAATTGGACCTAATGTAAACTTTGAGTTGCTATTCCTCTTATATTTCATTCCCTGTATGTTATTTTTTTTCTTTTCAGTGTGTTGGTTACTCATAATGATGCAGTAAAAATTTCTGATTTTGGCACTTCTAAAGAACTCAGCGATAAGAGTACAAAAATGTCCTTTGCAGGGACTGTAGCTTGGATGGCCCCAGAAGTGATTCGTAATGAACCTGTCTCTGAAAAGGTGGACATCTGGTGAGTAATACCTTTATAAATACTGGTACAGTTCAGTGTCGCTGTTACAGCTTCATATCCCAGTGAATTAAACCATATAATTGACAGATTTTGTCCATATAAATCTTCCTTTATATAGACAGTTTTCTCACCTTAAATATTTAAATTATGTAGTTTACATATTTTATAAATTTTGTGTTTGTAGAACATAGAATACTCTCTGGAAAAATATTTTTTCTTTGAAAAGATCTGAGACTTAAATTTCTTGGTAAATTCAGCTTTCTGGATTTTTATCATTTTTCATTTAATATCAGGTCATTTGGAGTGGTTTTGTGGGAGCTTCTCACTGGAGAGATTCCGTATAAGGATGTGGACTCCTCAGCAATCATCTGGGGTGTAGGCAGTAATAGCTTGCATCTTCCGGTGCCATCCACCTGTCCGGATGGATTCAAGATCCTTATGAAACAAACATGGTAAGTATTGCTGTTTGTGTGATATGCTCAGCTGCTATTGCATTTCACTACCCGATATGCCTTAGTAAAATTCTACAGTATGTTCACACATTGAGAATAGCTTTGGCTATTGGATGGTATCAGAATAAAATAAAAACCAACCAACTATGAGACCTTTGTCTATGCTCATAAGATGGTAGTGTTAACAAAAGTCCATTCTTGTGCAAATGAATAAGGTATAGTAATATAGAATTGTTTGTAGGTTTGATCAAATGTCTTAGATTCCAGAATGTGAATTGATACATGTGCATTTTGAATGCTGATAATAGATATAGTCATAGGTATATTCAATTTTGTTTGTATTCATTTTGCTTTGAGTTTTCTAGCCATAGTCAGTACTAAAAAGGCTGAAGTACCACAGTCATACAGATAATACACCATATTGATAGATTTCCCAGGCCAAATGTTAAATAATAGAGTAACAAAGTGTATAGAAAGAATTCAGGGAAGTTAGTTTACAGTAAGTCAGGGAGGGAAAAGAAGTATGAGTGAAAAAGCTTTTAAAATGAATGCATGGAAAATACATAGAGTGAACAGTTAATTAATCATATTTTATATTGCTATTATATGGAAGAATTGTTAAGTGTTGCTTACTGTGAGAATGGGAATAGGGAGTCTGTTTATTTTTCATGGACTGCAATCATGTTTGTTGTAATTTTGGGAGGTATTCAAATAGATTATGCTATGAAAGATCTTCCTAAAATGGAGCCATTAATTAAAATACAATTATGTTTTAACTTATGGGATGGACTCCCTTCTCTTTTCCTTCATTTCTTAGGCAAAGCAAGCCCCGGAATCGGCCATCTTTTCGACAGACACTTATGCACCTTGACATTGCATCTGCTGATGTGCTAGCTACCCCTCAGGAGACTTACTTCAAGTCTCAGGTAAATCTTTAATTCATAACAGCAGTGAACATTTATAGATATCATTAGCTTGACATGTGTTCTTTTTTAGGGCTTGCATATTAGGAATAGGATGAGAACACCAGAGGAAAGATCAATAGTCCTGCATTGGGTGCAGGGGAATAATGATGTGCCAAAGGCCCATGTATAAATGTAGTTAGTGTTTATAATTCACATGAAAGTGCATGGAAAGAAGATTTTCATTTATAGGCCTCAAGCCTGCAAATGAAAGGTTTGAGGGTACTGCAAAGAAATGTAGAGGAACAACCCTCCATCCACCCACAAAGGACAGTTTTCATAAGAGTAGCCTTGTTATCTTGAAGCACAAGGGGGGAAAACATTTTTGTGACATTTCTGATGAAGAAATCTGGGTATTTCAAAAGTTTGTGCATTTTTGAGATCTTTGCTTAGCTTAATAAAGGTAATGCACCAATATGTATCTTTCTTATGGTCAACGTGCCTATCTTGGCTTTTCTTTCATGTGATGGATTTTTTTAGCCTTAACAATAATATCTTTAGCTTTGTCTTCAATGCATTACTGTATTGCCCTTTTCCTGTGAGTCCAGGAGTGCCATTTTCAAGATATATTTACTTTAGCAAAATAATTGACTCTTCCAGAATTACAATAGGAGGCCTCTTTACTTAATTTGTACGCTTTTGGATATAATTCTTTCCCAACTGTGTCCCTTCTTGGAGGGGAATAACCTGAAAAGTAGTGGATCCATTGGTAACTTCTAGGCTCAATTTCTACAGTGTGCTTTACATAGGGCTACCCTTGTTCCTACTCTAGAAACTGCAACTAGTATAAAATATGGCAGCCAGGCTGGTCTCTGGGACATTATGGAGAGACTATACATAATTTATTTCCAAGTCTTTGCAGTGGTTGCCAATACGTTTCCAGATACAGTAGGTGTTGGTAATTACCTTTAAAGCCCTGCATGACTTGGGTCCAGAATACCTTTAGGAGCACATTTGCTCGTATATTCCACCTCACCAGCTAAGATCCTCTGGGGGTAATCTTCTGGAGTCTGTTTCTGTAAGATTAATGTCAAGTACCAAGAGGACTTTTTCAGTGGTTGCCCCTAAGCTTTGGAATACTCTGCCAGGAGAGATGCAGCTGATTTCCCAAACTCCCACCTTTAAGACAGTGTTAAAAACGTATATCTTCTGACAGGCCTTCCTGGATTAGTTCTCATGTCAATTTTATTTAATATGTTGTAATAGTCAACATTGTTTATTTATTTAAAACATTTCTATCCCGTCCTTTACAAAAATGCCTCAGGATGACTTACAATATTACTCACTGTTGGTTTAATTTCTTGTAAAATGTTCAGAGTCTGTTGGAATGGGCAGTATATAAATAATTAACATAAAAATAATTCTGTAGTCAAAGGAATATATATAAGTTTTCTTTATCAATTTATTTGTTGTTCTGATCAATGAACATTTTTATTGATCTTGTATTATTTTTGAGGCTGCAGATAGGCCAATGGATCAGAAGCTGTTACTATGGTAATCAAGGAGTCTATTATGCATTTTAGTGCAACTCCCATTTATTTATTTATTTATTTATTTATTTATTTAAAATGTCTTATACCATCTGATTATTATAAAATCTCAAGGTGGTTTACATAAAAAGCCAATATACGCTGGTATATATTAAAACCATATTACAACTAGAAAATTGTTAATCCATAGGAATTATGAGTGTGAGTTCTACAACAAAATAAACATCCACTCCCCTGTTTGCTGTGTTTGCATGTGCACTGAATAGCCTTAGAACTGTAAGCCAATTTGATGGATATATATATGAGAAGAAATTAAGGTGTCTGAAATGCTGAACAATTTTATAGGTTAGGATTGCCTATCACTATATGTCTGTACCTAGTGCTGGAGTTTGAGCTAAAATTAGAGTTGTAAGACAAATCTGGTAATTAATTTGTCTCTGGCTTACTAATACAGGCATTCAAATAAAGGTATTAAGAAATTATTCTTCAGAAAAAGGTAGTAAAGAAGCTAGGAAGAAAGACAGACTTTTTTCCTGATATGCTAGAGTAGTATACTCTTTCTTTATACAGTTTGCTACTGCCATGAATTATGCTGTATAACCATTTAAATGTAAAATTGCTTTGGCAGGCCGAATGGAGAGAAGAAGTGAAGAAGCACTTTGAAAAAATTAAAAGTGAAGGAACTTGTATACACCGGTTAGATGAAGAACTGATTCGTCGCAGAAGAGAAGAACTCAGGTCTGTTGATTTTACTTAAGAAAAACCCTTGTGATTCATATCAAAAAATCCAGCTAGTTCAGTATTCTGCTTCCAGCAGGAACCAGTTAGATGCTTCTGAAAAGTTCTCAAACAGGACATGAAGGAAATTATTTTTCTCTGTTTACTTCCCAGCACCTAGAGTGAGAGGCATACTGCTTCTGAAGCTGCAGGTTCCATTCACCTATCACGACTAACAGGGTTGGGAGGAACCCTAGTGGAATCTGTCCTTTTAGTAATTGCAGGCTTACTCTTGTGCTCAGGGTGGTCTTGCAAAGTGAACCGAGCTGAGAGGAAGTTCACAAATGCTCATGGAATTGGGGTTATACAGCCAGCAAGCTCCTTCCATGCCAGGTGCAGCAGCACAAAGGCTGTGGCAGGTGGTGCAGAAGAGGGATGCTGCCTGCACCTGGACCATGCGAGGCTCCATTTCTGGTGAACCATGTGTGGCAGCTGGCAGTATTCCTCTTCTCTGCTGCATAGACCAGCTCTTTGGACTGCTGCACTTTACACAGAAGAGAGTAACTTCTTGCACAATGCATGGGGCTTGATTCCTGATGTCCACCCTGCGAAGCTGGGCACGTTCACCAGGAACTTGGACTCAGGGCTGCTGCAAAGTGGACTGTAGTCCGGGGAGCTGAGGACAAGGAATCTGATTCCCACCCCAAAGGGATTCCTCACACATACTTAGCTAATACTTCTTGAAAGATGTATCCTCCAGGAATTTGTCTAACCTATTCATAAACAGACTCAGATGCAGGAATTAGGGTTGATCTGGGTTGAATAATTTCATTAGGGTTTATATGCTGATTTGCATATATTCACACAACTCTTTATGAGGAAAGACCTTAGAAGCAATTTTAAATTATGGGAAAGGCCTCTTAACTGTGTTTTTGAGACTGGCTCTCCCTTTTACACAGGCACGCCTTGGACATTCGTGAACATTACGAAAGAAAACTAGAAAGAGCCAATAATTTGTATATGGAACTTAGTGCCATCATGCTACAGCTGGAGGTTCGGGAAAAGGAACTCATCAAGTATGTACATCTATGTACTCCCCTATTGTGCTTATGAATAAGGATTGTTTTAGCTTGAGGTTTTTCATTTGTTTTTGTTACTTTGTTTTTTAAAATTGGTTTCCCAGTCTGGATAATGATCAAGCATAGCTCATTTCTAAATAGTACAGGAAAGATAAGCTGTTTAGGTTTCCCTTATATAGTTCAACAAAGCAATTCATTATCGTTTCATAGCAAAAATGATAGAGTCTTGTGGCATATTAAAGACTAGGAAATTTATTCTGCTGTATTTTCCTGTGGACTATTTTAGAGGATCCTCCTTTTATTTGGCCAAGGTCATGAAGGCAAAAGGCTTCCAATTTTAGAACACAATGATTATATTGCACTTCCTTATTTTTGGAATGTTCATCTGAGTTACAACCAGGACTCCTGATCATGTCAGTTGCTCTCTAAAATATTATTAGCCTTTTCCAAATCCTGCTATGAACACTTAATATGGAAAGAAAACTTGATGATGTCTATATATTGATTTGGAGAAAGCTGCAAATATTCCATTAGCTTTCATTTTATTATGAAAATATTGGGGGTTTCTTTGTATTCCATGTGCAGGCGGGAACAAGCTGTGGAAAAGAAATATCCTGGGACTTATAAGCGTCATCCAGTCCGACCAATAATTCATGCCAATGCAATGGAAAAATTGATGAAGAGGAGAGGAGTATCCCACAAATCGGGAAGCCAGACTAAACGGTGAGCTAAATAACAAAACTATATTTGGGGAGGTGGGGTTCAGAATGATCTGGTGTCCCTATATGTGTTCAGAATTGCTGATTACTCAAATGGCGATGACTGATTTCCTTGCTGCATAGAAACCATGAGTTAGATAATAGCATATGAGATAGTATGTGTGTCTGTCTGCATTCCCTAACCATAGCATGAACGTTTTGGCAGTGAAATGTAATGCAATTTAAGGGTATATCATTAGAGAGTCTTTTACTGGGTTTTTCAGAAACTATCTTTAGGTGGATCCCTCTACTCTAAGGCAATCCCACCATTAACACCAAATGCCTTTCCTTACTGGGATGTTTCTACTGTTACAGCTACTACTTGTGGCAGACGACTCTTCACCACTGAGCAATTTTTCCCTTCACCTCTGCTGACACCATTACACTACACTCTTTTATTTAATATAAAGATAGCTGATTGTTAGGTGCGAGACAGAGATAAGAGAAAAGTAAAGATATGTTATTTAAAAGAAATAACTCTTAAATAATATGGTTTTTTATTTTATTTCACAAACAAGGCTTCTGTAATGTTACTTTAAAAATTGGGCATCTGTTTTGTTCACATTATGACTAATCAGATGTTCAAAGCGCCATTTCCTAACCCTCAGACCTAAGCCAAATGCCCTGTCATGGTCCAATCTGATTGACAGACCTAGCAATGAGGGTTTGAAAGGCAGTCTTCTTTTTGGTATAAAGTTCCCCCCTTCCAGACTGCCACCTTAAGGCTGTTTACCAGGTTTCCCCTGAATTTTTCCATTTGATCCAGCAGCTGCTCTGCTTCAGACTGCAGCTACCAATAGATAGTCAGGCTGCAGTGCTTTCCTCCAAAGTCTGCTCCTAGAGTTTTCTTCTCACTTGCAGACCTGCTTTAGCCTCTTCCTCATGTGTTCTCAGCTGACAGATTGGTTTCCAGGTCTTTTGTCTGCTCTTCTTTCTGACTTATGTCTTGTTCGTGCTCTCAGTGACTCATGAATACAACTCCTGATAACTCTTCTTCAGGCAAAAACTCTCCAGGTGAACTCTCTGAGATGCCTCTTAATAGCACCTTATATTTGCTTCAGTCAGAAAGCTTTGGTGTTGCCAACTTTCATCATACCACCTCTGTTCAGAGTTTGGAACAATGGGTATCTTAGATGGTACTAATTAGAGGGTACCAATTTCAGCCCAACTGTTATTTATATATGTTATTTATATAATGCAAAAATATGGTCTTACTCCTCTTGCAGTGAGAATAGTAACCTCCATTCTACTAGTACATCACATTTACAATGGGCCAGTTTGCACAACCAAAATAACTGGCTTCTTATATTACTTGAACCTGGGTGATATGGCTTCTTGGAGGGGGAAACAACCTTGGGTTGTTGAAAGCTTGTTTTCCTATTCCAGCAAACCATGCTGCCTAGATTCAGATGATCTGACAAACAGTGCCAGGGCAGTGAGTATTCAAATTGTGACTCACTCACACCTGGCATACACCACGATTTAAATAACTGTGGTTTATTTTGATTAAGGGAACCAGGTGTTTTTCTTGAGCAAATTTCCTACCCCCAGCCAGTTTTTTAATTAAAAAAAAATGTAGTTCTGGAGATAGAGAGAGCTCCTCATGAAATACTTTCCCTTTCAAAATAGTGATATATTGCTTGTTAAAGCACTGTTTATGCTAATATTTGCAGCCAATTTACTGGGTTTGCAAAGATCTTAGATACAAACTTCAAATGTATAGAGTGTAAAGGGTTGGCAGTGACATTGTTGCTACTGTATTTATCAGAATTTCTAAACAATCAACACTGTTAAGACTTGATGTTAGCAAAGTAGGTGCAAATGTGGCAAATTACACAACCTCTTCAGATAGTCTGTCCTGAGTCTGTTATGCACAATGCTTCTTTTTCATCATGTTATTGATGCTTTTGTGCAAAAGTTTCTAGCTCTTATTTTATTTATGTATTTTTATTTAAAACTGTTATATGCTGGGACAACTTACAAATGTACAATTAAAACCAATAGAACAATAACAATTCCATAAAATTATATAAAAACAAAAAAAACCCCAACAAATTTTACTGGCACATACTATATTGTACTAAAAATAAGTACACTTACGCACCCTGGAGTTCTCTTTTCCCTAATAGCAAACTACCTAGTAGTCTTTTCATCCCTGTTGATTGTTTCTTTGTTACATGCTAATTCATAATTTTAAAAGTGTACAATATGTAACAGAGTTTGTGTTACTTCATGACCATGACTTCTGACCATAATGGGGTGGGGGGGTAATGCTTACAACTAAGCCTAGTTATATCTTAATTTTAACAGAGAACACACTTTATTTTGCAACCTTTCCCAGGCCTGATTTGCTGAAGTCTGATGGCATATCCAGCACTGAAGTGGCACCTAGTGGCTCTCCCCTCTCAGGGAGTCCCAAGATGTCAACACTTAGTAGCAAAGGACGTTATCGCAGCAAACCACGCCATCGACGAGGAAACAGCAAAGGCAGCTACAATGATTTTTCAGGGATCTTGAAAAGCCAGCCAGCACAAGATGAAGTGGCCCAGCCATCTTACCATCATCAGCACCCTCCGCATCACCCTCGGCTAAACATACATGGGCAGGACATAGCCAACTGTGCTAACAATCTTCGATATTTTGGCCCTGCTGCTGCCTTGCGCAGTCCTCTTAGCAGTCATGCCCAACGAAGGATGTCTGGTTCTAGCCCTGACCTTATTTCTGCTGCTATGGAAGCTGATTCACGGAGGAATTTGCAGGATGAGGAGGGCAAGGGTAATGATTGGGAATGTTGTGATAAAGGCACATACAACCTCTGCCCAGAGTGCAGACCAGGAACAAACAGTACAGATCAAGGACAGTTGCTTCAGTCAGGACTTGAGCAACCTGAAGCACCATCATATGATCCATTGTATTCAAATGTGCAGTTTCCTGGCAAGAGTGAGGAAGGTGAATTTAGCAACCACAGGTCAGTGCCATCCCTTGGTCCCAATCATCCTGCGAGCACCCCGGGACTGCTGTGTAAAATGCGACCCATTCCAAAGGTAAGGTCCCTTTGACTATCCCAGAAAGTGGGCTGTTTACATTTTGCTGTTTTCTGAGGCACCGTGCATGCACTGCCTGTATCTTGGATTCATTGTTCTTGTTGTATAGAACTGCATTTGGGGACTTCCGTTCATAAAAAGTGCTACTATATGAGACTAGATTGGAATCCATGTTGCTGCCCCTTTGTACATAATTAGCCATTAATATTGCCTTCTGCCTCCCCACCAGAGTGGTGACTACTCTTCAGAAGAAGAAGAAGGAGAAGTAGATAGTGAAGTGGAATTCCCACGGAGACAGAGGTAGAACTCTATTCTAATTGCTAAATGAAATTTAAGTTCATAAAAGAGAATGAAGTTTATGTGATTTTAATTTCATTGTAGCATGATGAGAACTTACAGGGTTGATCGTAACATTATTTGTTATCCTGGTTCTTCAAAAAGGAGAGGTTTTACTTGCATTTCAAGAAACAGAGTAGCATCTAGAGCAGTGACTGGAGGACTCTTTAAGTCCAAGGGCTGAATTAGCTCCAGAGTAGCATGTCATAGGCAGCCTACCAGTGGTGGGTGGGGCCACAGGCCAAAGCAGGGTGTTCCTATCACCCTGTTCTCATGATAGTCTCCAAAATGTGTTCTGGATGGAATAAAAAGTGGAAGTTAGGAAGTGGAAGAATGATGATTGGAAAGGGAGGGGACTAGAGAGAGAACTCCTCAAGTCAAATGGTTCTTTTCAGAAGGGGTAACACTTCAGAGGAATTTAGCAGGCTATATAAGGGTAGCATACACTTAAATTAACAATATGAGATGAGATGGTTGACTTGTTTTGACTTGCTTTTTTAAAACTGTAAAACATTTAAAAGTCCTGACAGTTCCTGGTTCATGATTTTACATAGTCCTAACCATCCTTCTGGAATAACATGCTGCCTGCACTTATTTGTGAGAAGTTGAAGTACAGAGTTAGAAATAGGTTTGTGAAGGTTGTTTAAATCCTTTGCTGTACTGAAACTACTGAACTGTAGAAAATAACAGTTCCATCTGGGGCGGTTAAAACTAGATGCTCTGTGAAATACCAGAATTTCACAGACAGTTTTTCTTTCCCTGCCTTTCCAAAATTGGTTTGCAGTCAAGCTTCCAAGCAGTAGGCATGTAAGAATACAAAAGTTGTGGGGGGAAAATGACTAGCCTGTAAAAGGAAAGGGTGGTCTCTTTAGTTTAAAAAGCTTGTGCTTTGATGTTACTCATTGTATTCTGTTAAGGGAGTGAGTCCTGTGGTCTATTAGTAACTGCAAGGCTTCTGAGCTCAGAGAAAAGAAGCAGGCTTGTATTATGGCATATGATATTAGGTAGCTTTAAAGATTTGAGGTTCAGTTCAGAAGATCCAGGGCTCATGCCAGGTGTCATATTGTCACACTTAAGCAGTCATCCAAACTAGATGTTACCAGAGTGTGGATAGGTCATAATATAGGCAAGGTCATTACTGAAATATCACTCTAAGTTGAGAAAAGGTGTTCCATTTAGAGTGAAAAAACTGCTTGTGGTAAAATTTTCCCATAACTTTTCAAGACCTGTGCATAATATGTACTGGAGTGGCCAGACTTGCTCAGTGGAAGAACCACATACAGCAAATGTCAGATGTTTGACAGCCACAAGATATGAACAAATATTAACTTATATATTCATTTCTTTATTTTGACCAAACAGACATTGCTATAATTATCAGGCTAGTTACTGCTAGTAGAGGTCTTGTGAGTCTCCATCTTGGCTGTGAGTCACTGAAACTTGCTCTCCGCAGGACTCTTGGGCATGCTGACTGGGCCTGGTATTTGAGGCTCAGAGTAGAAGTAAGATGATTGAAGCAGCACTGTGAGTGGTTCTCACAGCAGGCAATGTGCCCATCTTTCCCTGGAAGGCTTTTGTGTTCACTAGCTCAGCTGCTGGTTGAGCCTTGATTGGTTGAGGCTCAGAGCTGAAGTCACATGATTGAAGCACCATATTTGGTTATTACAGAAGAGGACTTGTGCCCTTTTCCCTTCTTTTGTTTGTGCTGAGAAGAGAAGTTGAGTCTGGCTTTTTTGGCCTTCTGTGAGCCACAAAATAAACTCAAAGAGCTGCATGCGGCTTGTGAACCTTGATTTGGTCACCACCGATATATACCCTTCTAAGTATGTCAGACTTGGCTTCCTATCAGCTTACCTTTTTTGGTTACCCTACTTATTAGATCAATTGTATTCAGCTTTTGAATCAAGTCAACCTGTTAACGTATTATGGATTTGCAGACCACATCGCTGCATCAGCAGTTGCCAGTCGTACTCAACGTTCAGCTCTGAGAACCTCTCTGTGTCTGATGGAGAGGAGGGCAATACCAGTGACCATTCCAACAGCCCAGATGAGCTTGCCAATCGGCAGAAAGATCAGGCGGCTGAGAAGCTGGACGACATGCTGTCACAGACTCCAGAATTTCCCATTGAGATATCTAACCAGTCTGATGGTCTTTCGGATAAAGAGAGTGCTGTACGCAGAGTGAAGACACAGATGTCACTTGGCAAGTTGTGTCCAGAGGAGCATGGGTATGAGGTCAGTAGCACTGTATCTTTCTGTTTTAGGTCACTGAAAAATTAGTTAGGCCTTTTGGAAACTAGAATTTTGTTTATAGTGTGCAAAACATGCATACTATCATCATACTTGCTGCAAGGCTTCTCTTTCCACAGTACACCTAAGGCTGTCCGTGATCCTCTGGAGAGGTGCTTCCAGGAGCCTTGACGTTCTCTTCCCACTGATACCAGGCTCTTCAGATCTCTTTATTTGTAGATCTCCAGTCCCAGATAGATAGAGGCATTTCTTAGCAACATTAACCATTAAACTGCAGTGTCCTTCCCAAGGATCCTTAAAACAAGAATGAGAGGAACTTACTAGGGTTTTATTCACTGTAAATGTACATCCTGGAAGTTCCATTAGTATTTGAACCTGTTGTTGCATTACTTTTCAAAGTGTTAGTTCCCAAATATGCCCTGGGATTGCAGACAGATGTGGCAAGTTGCCAAAGAAATCTTATTCACAGGTCCCATGAAGCCTCATCAAGAGATGTTAGTGCAGGCAGAATTAACTCAATTTTTATCAGAGCCTCTGGCCTTTGGAAAAGGAACTTATTGACTTGAGGTTCTCCCTGTCCTATGCCTTCAGATAAATCATGTGGTGCAGAGTTCCTGGGACTTCTGAAAAGGAACCATACATGTCAATTTGTTCCCCATGGCAGGATTTCTCGGAGGTGAAGAGCATGTGTTTTCATTTTTCATTGAGAGGGAACTTTAGATCTATAGCATTTTCTTTTAAGATGAAAAGTGCCAATAAATAATTCCCAGTGTTCCTTTTGTTTTGTGTACAGAATCCTGGGGAGTTTGGAGGATCAGGTGGTGACTCTTCAGATGGGGACTGCTCTGATGCAACTGTGAGGACCAGTAAAGCCTGCAGCTCTGCAACATTGTAATAATAAATCTCCTCCCTCCTTCAGACAGTTGATCAACTGACATCTTGATTCCCCCAAGAACCCTCTCTTCATTCCTTCTTTGAGAAGCTGCTTCTCCACCCCATCACCCAAATGATCTGCAATAACTTGAATCTTTGGAGAAATGTTCTGATGAATTGGTTTCTCAGCGAGCATTTCAATAATGAATGGCAGGGATGTATTTTATTGAATAATTGAGCTATTGTATCATATTTTTGGCATTTTAACACTTTTTACTCTGAAGAGTGGTCTGTACCCATAGACAAAATAATTAGTTGCAAAAAATGTTCAGAAGACAAGCCTGTGAAAAAGAATGATCTTTTTGAGTCTTAGACAACATACACTGATAGGCTAGGATCTGATGCTGCTACGTTGATATGGGACCAGGCCACAGGGCTCTGAAGGGCTGGAAATAAAGAAAGGAACTCAATGATTTGATCATATCCAGTGAAGTGGTGGATGAGGCAATCTGTGAAGAAATATCTGTGTAATCAGTGTAGCATTTCCAATAGGAGGGTGTTCACATTCCTGGAAAGTGTGTCTGAGTCTCTGCTCCCCTGGCATGTGAGAGTGGGAGCTAATTGTGCTTGTTTTTAATTGGTATTTGGTTGGTTGTGGCATCCTGCATCTGTATTCTAGCCTCAGTCTCTCTCCAGCATTTTTTACCATCATTGTGCCACTGTGAGATCAGGCGATAAGGCATGGAGATGCTGGAGAATAGAGAGAAATGAACGTGCTGTTTGGTAATCATTATCTTAGTCTCCTTTACAACCTGTCTTTTGTTTGCTTCCTTCAATTAAAAACAAATCGATCAAATTAATGAAGATCAAGAACTCACAAGCCATGGAAAAAACATTCTACACATTCGGAGGACAATCTGGAGGAAGGATTCTGCTATAAAGGACACAATAAAGGAGGGTTGTCACTGGATGGAACCAGGGGAATTGCATTGTCTGGACCACATGATGCACTTCTCCAATGTTTGTCTAGTACTGTTCTGGTAGGTAAGCGCTGGCAGCGTATCAGGCTTGATGCAAAGTAGCATTTGAAAAGCAGTGATGAGTAGAGAATGCTCCATTTTGGGTTTGAGGGAGCCTAAGCCATATTTCCATGGTAGTGGATTTTGGACTGGAGAGGGTCTGAGATTTGATTTTCCTAAGGGAAAGGTATTCCACCTTCCTTCTGCAATACCTCATTGTTCCTAAGCAACTCACTGGCATTTATAATCATGGCTCTTCTAATTGAAATGTCCAACTGGAGCAAAAAAAACATGCACTCACACACAAAAGTTATAATTTGGTTTTATAACCAAAGTGTTAACAAAAATATCAGCTTTGTCACATTGTGTGTCTAGTTAATTATATTCAGGGAAGAAAGGCTCTTTGTTTTGTGTGTAAAACTGTATACCTAGCAGGATTTATATTTAAGGTAGTGAGTAGCAATTGCCCTTCTCACTATGCCCTTAAATCAAAGGGGAAGGATGGGTTGCGCGCTGTGCTGCTGTTTGTTTACATTTGATTTGATTTTTTAAAATAATTTAATAACCTAGAGGTAAAATGAAGGGAAATGCATTACTAATACAGAGAGCAGTATTGTATGAGTTAAATTATTCCATATTTTTAAAATTCTGTAGCTGGACTACATGGATCATAAGTTATCTTATTTATTTTAATTTCTGTAGCTAAAAGGCAGGGTTTATTGTAGCATGACGAATTGGTCCCTGTTCAGTTGCTTCATAACTTCTTACCCCAAGAGAAGCAAGAGCCAGTATTGTAATAGTCTTCTATAAGCCTAGTGATGTGAAGGCCTGACAAAATTTGGGAAAAAACCCATTATTTCCCAAGAACCATTTATGGGTTTTTTTCCCTGAAAAACTGGAAAAATTGAATAGCTTATGAAATATTTTCTTTTAGAATGTAAGGCAGGGTGCTTATATATTCACCTAGCCTTTATTCCTCCCAGTGCTTTCTAAAAATGTTCTAATATTAAGATTTTGATAAAAAGAACAGAGATGTAAAATATCTGGATGTAATGGAGCCATAGGGGGATATTTTTATCCTCTGTGTAATTCCCAGCATAGTTATTTCTTCCATTCCTTATTAAATTTATTGATTGAGTGCATATTGATTGAAGAACATGTAGGAATGCTTCTAGTTATGTAGTTTTCCCACATGTGAATAGAATCACTATATTATAATATGGAAGAAAATGTCCATTCTTGACAGCTTGGGTTTTATTCTACAGAATCCTTTCTGGGCTTGTTCTAGTAAGATGCTATAGCAATCAGTCAATGCACCCTTAGATCTAAAACCCAGATGTGAAAAAGTGTAGGTTATCCCACCACTGTCACCAGATATGATGGAACAACACAGTGGTTACCCACTTTTTTTTTTTTTTTTTTTTTTGCTAATTTTGAGGCATTGGTCTATAGAACTCTGCCACAGATTTTAATAAAGTTCTCAACTAGACCTTAAGGTGAGGGAATGCTGCCTCGCCTATAAAACCTTGCAGTTAAATATGGTTTCTTACCATTCTTAAACTGAGTCTTTTCTCACTAAATAAAATCTGATTTCCTTACAAACAGTAACAGATATTGTATACCAGTCTTCCTACATCTGGCTTTTAGGATGAACCAGATGTTTTAGGGACTACTTTCAGAAGTTCATTCTGAGCAGACATAAAATTGGAACCTTAAATGTTTTGAATAATTTGGTTTGCGCGTAGAATTCTTTTGTATATTAAATTTAAAAGTATTGTTTATTTAGGTGATACTTACAAATTTAATCAGTTTACTTATAAAAAGTTTTAGAAGCAAACCAAGGTGTGCATAATACAATTTTAGGAACATTAAGGGTGTTTTATGTTCCTAAAGCACCTTTCCCCAGCCTGGTGCTCTCCAGATATTTTGGACTACAATGCCCAGCATTCTTGACCATCAACCATGTTGTCTGGGGCTGATGGGAGCTGAAGTCCAAAAGCAGCAAGTGGCTGCAGTACTGTAAAAAGAGTTAACAAGCAATGCTTATTTTTATTCCCCCCACCCTTTCCTCCTAATTCTGTTTTGTTTTTCCTGGGAAAAAAACTGAAAAAATAATGCTTTTTTAAACCCGTGGCTTCAGAATTTCCAGAAATTTTAAATGTCTGTACAGGTTACTCTTACCTTGCTGGTGGACAATAAGACAATGGAATAGGCCGATACCAGCAAATTGATGCAGTGCTAGGTTGCATGTGCATGGAGTATAAAATGGGGCAGATAGAGATCGTAAAACATGGCATGTTTTAAACCGCTGTACTGTCAGAAAAGTGGTATATCAACCTGAAACGTAAACAAGTCATCCCTGTCCACTTAAAGTGCATCTTTCTCTCCTAAAGACAAGACTTCCTAGAGCATTATCTGTTTACATCAGATTAGTCTGAACTCTGCTCATTTTGAACGAAGTTGTTATTGGAAGCTTATGTCCTTTTTGCCTAGTTATGTAGCTTGAAGGTGAGCTGCTATCTTTGAGGGCCCCATAGAGGATGTTTCTTCACACTCCAGTAAATACAGTCTTATTGGTATATGGGTCAAGTTGTGGGAGGACAGCTTAGTACTGCACATATTAGTACTACCACAGCCCACCTAATTCAGTCACATAACTTGGTGCTTCCTTTGGAAAGCTTACCCTCTTGGCACTACCTAAACTGGGGTAGTCACCATGTACCTCCAGACCACATATGACTCTCACTGTGGCTGCTGTCATCCTGCCAAATTTGAGCTTACTTGAATTGTTTTAGTGGGAAAAAATATTAAAAGGGAAATAAATGGCATTGGCAGCTGCTGCAAAGCACCAAAAAGTTGTTGAATTTTACCGTTTTGCTGCTCTGTAGCAGTTATGAGCAGCCTTGTTTTACAACCACATGATCAGATTGCCCAAAGTTTCTCACATCTGTCAGTAGCTATTCTGTTAGCCTTAAGTTATTTATGTTTGAAGTTTACCCCATTCTTCCTGGTCACTAGACAATTATTCTGTTCCATTATGCGTGTTTTACTTAAAAGGATGTTGTGGTGGTGATCTCTGAATTTTGATCTCTGACTTTGTAAATGCTTTGCTAATAACATTGGCAAACAAGCAGACTCTTTGGTAATTACACAATGTACCTCACTTTGTGAAATGAAGATTCTAGTTCATCAACCCAGGGCTGAGTATGTTTTGGGAAAGTCTTTTTTTTAAATACAGCGAAGTGAGGGATCATGTCAAGAATGACAGGAAGTTGCATGTTTTTCCCATATGAAGACTTGCTCAGTGCTATTTTTTCCAAACTACTTTGAGGAATTTCATACTACGTTTTTCATGCCCAGGATATAATGCAGAACTGTCAAGCAGGAATTGTCAAGGATTGTAGGCAAAGGAATTTGTTATGAGTCTTAATGTGGACATATTGAGCCTGGAGTCTTATGTATGCAAAATATATGCTTTACCACTGAAGTACAGCCTTTCTGTATAGGAATTTGCTACATTAGAAGAGAATGGGTCTGATTTAATGGTCTTTGTTGTGTCTTGTAGCCAGTGGCTATTTGCTTTTGGTATTTGCACATATGCTGCATCTGCAGATATCATGCTGCACAGTGCATGCAGTTCTCTGTGAGAGTATTTAAAGGTTCATGAAGCATTCATGAAGGTGTATCTCTGGCAGAAGGATTCTCCAAAGAAATACACTTTCCCTAGCCATGTGTATCCCGTGTTTCCATTTACATTGAAACACACAGTTTTTCCTTGACCATGCCCCAAAAGCTCAAGGGATTAAGGGACACTGATTTAAAATTTATTGAACTGGTGGTCCCAAGAATGTGATGGTGTAGCTATCAACTTGTTCTAAGATTGTCTAATATTCAAACACTAAATTCAACTGTAGAATCTTCAGAATTGTTAAATATAATTTGTGTCATTGAGTACAAGGAGACGATTCTTCCAGAAGTATTTATTCTTTTTCCCAAATTAGGTTGAGAAGGTGCTGTTTCATGGTAAACTGATAAAAATATGAATTAACATATTAAAATAATTTTAATAATGCCATCTATCCCCATGCTATTAAACACTTTGTTATTAACCTTCAAGGGCAGTCCTGAATGCACAGGGTTAAAAGAAAGCAAATATAATCTCGCAGCTAGAGATCCAAGTAAGCTGCAAGCTTGTTAAGAAAGGCAGTGATATAGATAATACAGTCAAGGAGACACAGCTGAAAATGCCATCCCTGCAATACTGAAATGTCTAGGACTACCTTTTGCACAATGCACTAATGTCCCCTGGTGAATTTCCTAGCCCTCTATATCACTGGGGGTTGCTACTGCTTGGGATGATGCCATGTCACACAGTAAATCTTAAAGCAGAGCAGGAGGATGTGTCATAGGGATCTAGTTTTCAGTGACATTGTCATGTAGCCTGGCTTTAAGCAGAGACATTCTGTAGTCCTATTGTATTCAAAAATACTGTCCATATTCTGCCTCTGAGATAACATTGCTAACCCTAAAATTTGGATGATGAGCTGTGGTATGAAAACATATTGGTCTAACAGAGGTGAGATTTTAAATGATTGATGTTCTCTAAGAGTACACAGGCCATGTGTTTAAAGTTTTTTCTTAAGTGTGAGGGCTAAAAACTTTTTAATGTGGAAACAGACTCTCAGGTATTTCTGTGACTTTGGGCTCTTTCAAAAGCCTGCTGTGTTCTGTAGGTCCAATTAAAGGTACTGACTGTACCTGTTTTATTCTCTGGGAACAACACTCCAAAGCACTAAATATTGAGACATAGAAGTTTGAGAGTTGGTGATACTGGTAGTGCGAGACACACACTGTTTTGTCTTTCTTTTTCCGAGAAAGCATGATGGCAAAAGAAAATAGCCATTATGATTTTTCATACATTACACTGAGTTTGTATTCAAGGAACCAAGTGGTACAAGAAATGCTTTATTAGAGATGTGCTAAGAAATGCATTTTTGTTACAAGGTAGGAAAATAGGCCAGTCATTGTGTTAACACTCTGATAGCATATTTGGGATGGCAAAGGAATGGATAAATCTTCATAGCAGAGTCTAAATTGTTTTTCTTTTGAATCTTGATTCAAAGCCATAAACCCAAACATATCATATTCAGATTATTAGAAAGTATTGCTGTATGTTATCAAGGGTAAATTTTCTTGCTGTGTTATAGCCATTTTGTGCAAGGGCATTACAAAATAATTGCCTGATTAAGGGCTTGCTAGTAATGACACAGCAATCGTAAAACATGCTTAGAATAAGCAATGGGAACTGGAAATAGCTTTGGAGTCAAATGACTTGTTTAGGATGTTTTCACCTCTTATAATTCTTAATTATCGGGTCCAGCTATGATGCAATCAGTATGGTGGCTAATGATTACTGGGAGTTAGTGGTTTTGTCTGTCATAAAATGATAATTTCATCTCCTATGCTGTCTTTTCTCCCTATTCTATGGCTTCCTGAGGCAAACTTGATTTTTTGTATTTGTATTGAACAGCGTATAACAATTGGGAACAAGACTGACTATCAAAACAGATGCATGGAATAAAAGCCAGTGTACCTCATGTGTTGAGAGCTCATATGTCCAGTGTGGTGCAGCTACATATATTACATCAGAAAATTGAGAAAAGAAGTGGATGTCTTTCTATTTCCAAATAATTTTTCCAGGACCTTCTGGATAATATAGCCTGTAGAATTGATAATTATATATGTTAAAAATAGACATAGTGCTAGGAGAATGGCAAAAACGACACAGTATTGTACTGGTATATCTCCAGAAAAAATGATAAACAGGCATATATTGTAATGTCCACTTCTGGTGTGTGCTACTTCTCAACAGTTTGTGCTTGCAGTGCAATTGCCTGGAGCAGGTACTCATATGCCCCTTCGCCTGCCTGCTTTTTAAGTATAGACTAGTGTTCATCAGTAGAGTGTGTTCCCTTATCAGTTAGAACTTAAATTTGTGGCAGACACATAAACCTATGCATGTTACTTGGACATATGTACTACTGATTTCAGTGGGATTTACATCTAAGTATAAGACTTTGGGTTTACAGTACAATATTGTGCATGCTTGCTCTGAAATCCCATTGATTTCAATTGTTTGTACTTAAGTGTGCACAGAATTGCAACTTTTATCTCTCAATACTTGCTGTCTCAGAACATCAGATTAACGCATAGTAGATTTGTACTACTTTCTCCTACACAGGAACCCTTCAGGGAACACAGAAGCACACGTTTCTTAAACTTCATCACTGGTACCTGAAGTACAAACAAACTTCAAAGGGCTTCTGAAGATGCCGAATATTAAACATTTTGGAATCTGGGATTACAAAATGATTTTTGAACCACAATTTATTTTCACTAAGCAGGAAATCAAGCATTTGCTTTGGTAGAGAACATTATACTGGAAAATGGTACCCATTTTTTATCAAATTAAACAATACTTGAAGAAAAATGCCACCTTCCAGGAAGGTACAATGTAGCCACCATATATTTTTCTACCACGTCCCCACATAAAATGCTTTCTTACTCCTAGTTGGTCTTCAGACTACTGTTTGCCTCACTTGTAGCAGAAATCCATCTGGAAATGTTGGGAAGGAGTAATTTAAAGTACAATTCTTTGTGTCTACCCAAAAATAAGCGCCATGAGATTTACTCCTAGAAAAGTGGGTACAGGATTGTATTGTTAGCCTGTTTTAGCAGAAACCATAATTCTACCTTGGAGCTACTCTGCAATATCTCACATACATCAGACAGCAATAATGCGTTGTGTTTCCTACCTGCTTTCCTTTGGCAAAATTAATCAACATATCCTAGGTACTTAAAGCAGTTTTACAAAGAAAGCTACAAATAGCTTACCTTTATCTGTTACCAGTAACAACAGAAAAATACTGAGCTTTTCCAAAAACAAATTTATGAATTATAGACCCAGCCTAGTTGTGCCATTATGATTCTAGTTATGATACTTTATTGCTGAGAATCCTAAACAACTGGAAGTTGAGTGGAGGTTTTTTCTGTAGTGTATAAAGTACAAAGGGGAAAGCCTTTAAAGACACAGCTTAGTTGTCACTCATCCAGAATAGTTAAATAAAGACTTCATTCCCTTTATACAAACAACATCTGTACCAACAGTTTTCACTGTCATTTATCTGGTATGAATATAAATCCCATATACATGCACACAGTTGGTAAGGCACTTGATTAAGACATCATTCCTATTTAGATTAATTCAAACCACAGATGTTTCTTACAGCTCCAAGTTGCCATAGTGCAGTGGCCAGAGCAGTCCTTTTTCAGTATCTACTTAGCATAAAACACATACATACTTGGGTTGTTTACATGATACAATAGCACACCATGCGTTATTTAATGCATGGTAAAGCTGTAGTGTATACAATGTGTATTTTGCAGCTGGTCTTTTAAACATGCAACTCCTGCACGAGGGTGTAACCCTCATATAAGCAGTGGCCTATTTTGGGATGGTTTAACTTGCACAACTCACAGTCACCAGGTTTATGTGACAAGACAACCACCATGCAGTGTTGCATATCCAACTTGGAATCTCTGGGTGACTAACCGACAGCATGTTATCTGAATCCAGCCATGGAGTCAGCAAATGCCATCCTAAGAAGCTCACTATGAACAGGGACATATACAGCTTAACACTAAAAAGTTAGCAGAGAATTTATTCCAATAAAACCACTGCCTATTAGCCAAATTTACAGGAACTCTAGCAAAGCATAGAGTTTTGTTATAAAAATGTTTTGTTACAAAGGGTGGTAAAACCTCCATTTTGCCACTAGCAAAATGGTAGAATGTGGTTTTCTAGGATGCATACTGCCACCAAGAAAATGATAAAAGAATAATGTAAGTAGGCATCAAGACTGAAGTCAGGGCATTCCCAAGCCACCTCACAGATGCTCCTTTTCACCAGAAGACAGCAGAGGCTTGCAAGAGTAGTTTCCCTTTGCATGACTTTAAAATGATTTCCATGCATTTATTAATCCTTAACTGGATCTATTTTTTGTAAAGACAATAATACTGCCCTGACAGATCCAGTCTCCCTTAGCATAAAGCATGAAATCTGCTAGCAAAGCAAGGTACTGATATTATGAGGATGAGGTATGTGAATACTCTATTATTAGTGCTCCAGCACACAGGAAGAAAGACCCTGTAGTCCCTCGTGTCAAATCTTGGCAATTCTCAAAGAGGCACGAGGGGAGGGGGAAGAGGTAACATGATTCAGTTCTCAGAACTGTTATTTAGCCAGCCAACACTTGTCCCACTAAATGCACCATCGCTGCTAGCAATCGGCTGCTTCATGTGACTCTCTTGCACATACTCTGTATGTAGGGACTTGCCTCCAGATACATCCTAGCATTTAGATTTCCCCAAGATGCACAGCCTCAAATGGCTCCTGGTCACAAAATCTTAAAAAACATTTTCCTTTCCATTTGATAGCATTCTAGGAACATTCAGAAGCACCTTTTAAAAAAGAGACATGCAAGTCTCAATTATCTTTTAAAAGCAGCATTTAAGAAAACACTGCTTTCTGCATATTACTGAAAGCTGATGTCCAACTACTGACAGGGGTCTCAAAGTTCAGTAAAAACAAAATAACTAGTTAGAATTGCACCGTCCCCATAAATAGATTTCCACTGTATTTGGGGCCCAGCCCATTCAGCTGTTCTTTCTTCCGTTGATCAGATGAACTCTCTCATTGTTTTTCTCCAAGTTGAGATGCTTCTGACTGTACTTCTTAATGAAAGTCCCAGGAATTAATGCCACCATGGCTATAGCCAACATTTTGAATAAAATGCTCCAAGAGAAAATGGCATCTAGGGAGGTGATCCGTGAAAGGATTGAGCCCGTCTGGACACAGATGAAGTTATATGGAATGAGACCTGCAGAAGTAAAAGGAGAATCCTCTTAAGAAAGGTTTCACCTCTCACAAACTGACCTCTGCAGAGGTCGGCCCGCACATAGGTTTACCTTCATCTTTATGCAAGTAGACATGAACATCTATGAATATGCATTCGTAGCCAAGTATTATGCCACAAAAGGTAAGAAGAGCTTGAAACTATAAATGCTGAAGGGAATGTATTTGGGCATCAAGGAAGACGTATACACACTTAAAAAGGCCAGGAAAGAAAAAAAAGGTAAAGTAATTGTCTTCTGCATGTGAGATTTTGAAAAATATTCAGTGCTCAAAGAGAAGGCACTGATTTTCTTGTTTGCTTGATTAACACTATTGTTTCCTCCAGCAAAAATTAACAATATTTGTTGTTTTCTCCAGGTATCATCTTAACTTGAGAAATCTGGTTTTCTTAAGAAAAGAGTACTGGTGAAATTCTGATATTACCTTCAGGATAACATTCAATTATCACATTATGGAGAAGTGTGTTTCCCTCTGTTTTTCTTAATGCCTTATGAAAGAAGGAAAATAGGGGGCCCATAGAAAAAAGGGAGTTTGTTCTTTTCTCTCTGTGATTTGGATATTAATTACAGAATTCAAACTACTCATTGCCAATGGTCAATAGATATTGGTAAAGTAGATCAGGAAGTTTCTCAGCAGTGGGTACACCTCTAATTATAAATCACCTTGCAGTATCCACTGTATAGCTGGAAGATAGTCCATCAAATTTCAACACACACAACGGACTTGTTTGTGCATGACACAACAGCTCACTGTAGCCCACCCCATTAACACACAGGCTGTTGTGTTGAGCTGAGTCTCCACTGGTGCCATTTTTCCCCTCAATTTTATTTATTTTCACAAAGTACATTGGAAACAAAATAAGAGAAAGGGATGTCAAGGGATATTCCACAAATATAGCATGTAATTTCAGTATATGAACATGTTTGTAACAAGGCAAGAATTTAAATAATGCAATTCTTAATCAGAAATTAATCTAGTTTATAAAACTAATTGTGAATTATAACATTGCTTTAGTACAGTGGTACCTCGGCTCAGGAATGCCTTGGTTCATGACCAAATCGGGTCGCAAACAAAAATTTCATGAAAATTTTGACTTGGGTAACGAACTCTGCATTGGGTGGCGACCAAGATCACAGCCATCTCTCCACCCCCAAGTCAGGAGATGGCCACGACTGCAGTTGCGTTTGTGCAGGGAAGACGTGCGTGATCATGGGTGCACTCCTGCAGGAAAGACAGGTGCAGTCTTGGCCATTTCCCCCCACCCCAACCAGCACAATTGCGGCCATCTCCCCACTCCCCTGAAACGCGCCCGTCTCTCCCTCCCCCAGTGTGCCCCGTTCACACCTGTCCCTCCCCCAGTCTGCCCGTGATTGCACCTGTCCCCCCCCCCCAGTGCGCTGGGATGACGGGCGTGTGCAGGGTTGACAGGCGCAATCTCGGTTGTACTGGGGGGGTGGGGAGATGGCCATGCTTGTGCATGGGGTGGGGGGTGGAGATGGCCACGATCTTTGTTGTTGTCACTTTGCTTCACATTTTTCTGATTTAAAAAAATGGTTACAGAACGGATTAACCTTACTTACACTGAACCTTATGCAGAAATTTAACTTGGCTCATGACCAATTTGGGTCATGACCAGACTCCTGGAACAATTTAAGTTCATGAGCCAAGGTACCACTGTATTCGGGTAAGAATCGGTGACACTTGTAAAGATTCTATTTTCTTTAGCAATTAGTTAAATTGCTCATAATAAGCTTTCCAACTTTCAGTAAATTCTTTAACTGGTCTTCTATAAATGTAACCCATGGGTGCCATTTTTCTAAGGTATCTATGAGCACCCAACTTGTGATTTGTTCTGTCAAGTGAATCCAGACAGCGGGGTTTTGTCAAATAACCCATGGATTTTAAAGGGTTATTTTAGGGTTATCTAACCCTTCATTAATCCCTGCCATTTGAGCTCACACAACATGGCAAGCCACAACAAAATGAGTCCCATGAAAAATGGTGCGGGGCCCAACACAACAGTCCTCATGGTGGGTTTCTTAACACGGTGATATATTCCTCAATGGGAAGAAATGGCAAACTTGTGCAGCTACGTAAAAAGGATAAGAAGGAAAAGGATATATTTGCTGGGTTTGCTACTTTTGTTCTTACCTATGAAAACAGACAAGAAGAACTGAGTCACTGGAATATTCAAGACTGGAGATGCAAGATTAAGAAACCAATTTGGAGTCATAGGGAACAGTCTCAGGAACAACAAAAAAAAGAACAAAGAATTTCTGTTCTCTTCCACCTATCACAGACAAAAAGAAACAATACCTGGCCAAACTGCAATACACTTGCTTATTTTTTAAAATACTCAGGGTTAGCAAAACAAACAATTCTTTAGACTGTTTAAGGCACTTATAAAAGTGACAATTACTGTTAATCACTATTAATTCAGGTTTGAAGAATAAGTTACAGCTGGGATTCTGAGTTTGCTTCTGCTCATGGGAATGTCCTTTGAAAGGAGTACTGGTAACAGAATCCTTCCATCAGTAAGGTAAAGGTAAAGGTTTCCCCTTGACATTAAAGTCCAGTCATGTCTGACTATAGGGGCCAGTGCTCATCTCCATTTCCTAGCTGAGGGAGCCAGTGTTTGTTTGCAGACAGTCTCCATGGTCATGTGGCCAGCATGACAAAACACCGAAGTGTACGGAATGCTGTTACCTTCCCACCGAAGTGGTACCTTTTTATCTATTTGCATTTGCATGCTTTTGAACTGCAAGGCTGGCAGGAGCTGGGACGGAGCAAGGGAACTCACCACGTTGTGCAGATTCAAACCGGCGACCTTTCGATCAACCAGCCCAGCGGCACAGCAGTTTAAACCACTGCACCACCTGCATCCTCCCTTCCATCAGTGGGAGGTAACAAATTCTCCTATAAACCTGCAGCCTCTTGTTTTCCCCTGCAACATACTTGAGATCTGTGAGCTTTAGAAGCAGATGTTTCCAAATATTTTGCTAGTAGGACCCTGTGCTGGTTCCTGACCCTAACTGTGAATAGGAGGCCTTCTTTCTGAAATTCACATACTGAGGCTATATAAATGATTCACGGCTATATGAACATTTCACACTGGTATGGTAAAATCGGTAAAAAGCAATAGCATATTTTCAGTAGGCAACACACCATAGAAGTGGCTGCACAAACAGATTTTACTGCCCCTTTCTCCCCATGGCAGCCCCTCCAGCCCCCTGAAGATGCTACACATGGGGCCGTGGGACCCTGTCATGCAAGGTATTCTCAAAAATCAGGTGGAGTCACTTTCTTTGAGCAAAATCATTCTGTCCACAGAAGGCAAATCCTGGATCGAACTACTGTAGTGAAGCATTAGGACTACAAGAGGCCAAAAGCAGCCTGAGAATCTTCTCTCTCAACATAAAGATCTTAAATGCTGTCAAGTTGCCTCCATTTTATGGTGACTCTATGAATTAATACCTCCTAAAATATCCTGTCCTTCACAGCCCTGCTCAGCTCTTGTCAATACATTAAGATATTACAAGTGCTCTAATTACACATCTCATAGGAAAGTATATTCTTTAAATTTCAACCTCTAGTGTTTATAAACTGGTTGTAGATTCAACCACCAAAATCAGAACAGAAGGTGCTTTATGCCAAGTCAGTTCATTTGTCAATATATCTCATTACTGTTGATACTGATTGTCAGTGCCTCTCTAGGATTGCAAAAAAGACTGTGCAAGCCTTACATAGAAATTGATCCTAGGACTTTTCCATTTAAAGCATGTGTTCTACCACTAAGCTATGGTTCTTATTCATTACAGAAGCGCAAAGTGTTTTATAGTGTTTGAAAACTAATAGTGATGGTGCTTTCTTACCTTCCTCTGAAGCATGGCAACTTTAACAGGAAAATAGTGGATAACAATTTTTTTCCCAAATACATTGGATAATCCATAGCAACACGTGGCACCCACAGAAGTCAAGGTAGAACATAACAGGAGTCCCATCCATGGTCCAAAGAGAGCCCCGGCAAGGATGTTCTGTTAGAGCAAAACTAGACAGTGATCCAGTCCATAATAAACTGTGGGGAAAGCATGAAGGACTTTGTGAAGCCCACAAACATGGCATAAAGGCCCCCAAACAACTAGAAGCATAGGACCTGGAAGTTCTGTTCAACTATCATGTCTAATAGCTATTTATACACTTATCCATATGGAACTTGCCCACCCTACTTTAAAGGGTAGCAGATAGGCAAGCTTTGGTCATTCAGATTCTTTGGCCTAAAATTCCCATTATCCTGCACAATTGGCTAAGCTGCTTGTGACAGGTAAGAATGGAGGGCACCAGGTTGCATACCCCTACTTTAAAGTAATTAAGTTACTGGCAATTATTTCTTCATGTAGCAAATAAGTTCCTAAGTTAGTTATAAAGTAAGAAAAACTTTATTTGTGTCTATTTGTATCTAAGGTTTATCCACTTCCTTAGGTGAACCTGAGTTTTGGCACTGTATGAGAGGTTTTTCTGGGTTTTTTTCGTCACATAGAACATTTTTTTTAAACCTCACATATTCCTCCTTGCTCTCACTCCCAAATAGTCCTATTTTCCTAAACCAAACACCCCAAATACTTTAACGTATCTTTTTCAGCAAACATTCCCAATTCCCTGATCATTTTGACTGTTTTTCCACATCCTGTTCTATAATATTGCCTTTGAGATGAGGGACCCAGATCTATGCATAGTGTTACATATATGAGCATGGCATAGATTTATATAAAGCTATTACACTTCTGGTTGTTTTTATTCTTTTCTTCTTTACAATGTGTTTATTATTAAGGTAGATATTACTGAAACATTACTCTGTTGTATCAAAGAACACAGGTGAAAAGGAATATAGAGATTCAGGGAAAAATCCAAAAAGAACATTACTACAAAACAGAAAAATTGTTACATTCATATCAATATTATAGTATGACCAAAGTTTTTACTATTTACAAAGTTTATTGTTCTCTTCTGTGTCTCTCTTAGTCAGCTTTATTAATGTTGAACTTTTATAAGAGTTTATTAAACAGACTCTTCAACAGAACACCATAAAATTTCCAAATGACAAATTTAAAAACAGCTAAACAAATACAATACGGATATGTAAAACACTCAGGATGGGTAATCTCCTCTCAAGTTATTAAATATCCTAGGCTCTGTTTAAATGCCTGAGCTTAGAGAATCATCATAGCCTGGTACTGAAAGGATGACAAGATTGGTGTGGGGAGGGGTCTCAGTGGGGAGTCCATTCCACAGTTGGGGCCCCACACTTAGAATGTTCTCTTGTTGCAGTAGGGGAACGGGGCAGATAGATTATCAGTGAAATGCTGCAAGTGCAACATCTTGGGACTCTGAATTGTATACATACCAGAAAGCTGGAGCCAGGTATAGCAAAGCATTGCTTGTATAGGTAGGCACTGCAGAAGAGCAGCAACACATATGTATGGTGTTCTCTATTGTAGTATTGTAGAAATTGTGCAAGCTCTTGCAGTTCTTCTAGGTTTGAAGGGAACTTTAATGACCTGATAAACAAAGAAGACAATCAGTTCAGATGCAAATAATTCATATGATGCCAGTGAAGGTTGTCTTCATTCTACAGATGGACCCAAGGATAATTATGAGGTAGGGTAAATGAAAGTGCTATGTCACCTTCAAGACTAATAGGTTTATTGCAACGTGGGATTTCACTGGGCAATAAAACAATTTAGTGTTGACAGCACTTTGCCTTATAGCCTTTACAAGCTTAACAAAGCTACACTTCTGGAACTAGGTCAAAGGGAACTGCCACACTGAGAGTCAGTTTGCCTACCTATTCTTTTGGAAACCGAAGATCCACTTTCTAAACCATTTAAATACATGCAAGATTGTAAATCTTTAACAAAAACTGAAGACCATAAATTACTATAGTAATGGGGGAAAGAAGGAATTTGGTAAGCAGACAGTTACAGAAAAGCTTAGTTTACAGTATAGTGTTATGCCAGCCAAGCAAGGACCACAAATCTCTACGTAAAATGTCTCAAGTGAGACATACAAGGTGATATATAGCATTTAAGTTGCTCAAATCAGAAAGACAGGCTGTTTGTTTCAGTGATCTTTGGCAGAGTCACAGATCCCTCATGCGTGCCTACATAGAGACCATGAAGAATAACAACGCAATTCAGCCTGAAACTTGTGCAACCTCATGTATGAAAATGTACAAGGGTTCCTTCTTCAAGAGAAAAGAAGGGATGGGATGGTGGGCAGAAGAATTCCATTTTCTTCATTTAAAGAGAATCCTCTCAACCAGTTTTAAAGCAAAGCAGATAAGCTACATCCTGTTGGTTCTAGGTACATCTGCATGCTGCTGGAGGAATGAGGAATCCTCAACTCAGATATATCCAACTGTTAATTCTCAACAATTTTCCAAAGAGAGGTACAGAGGAATTTATGCTAGAAACAGCTGATAATAAAGATACTCTAAGTATATAGTCATTTAAGCATACTTATGCTGGTAAAAAATGAAGAAAAAGATAACATTCAACTTGATATACCCTGAATTCTTGATGTAAATTCTAACTCAAAGTCATCTGTAAAAGCTGCTAACACAAAATCCAGGCCATCGGCAGCTCACCTTTGAAAACGTACTTATTGTTCCTCCTTGGCCACTTTTTTTTCTTTTGCTAAAAGGCTAAAATTATGGGCTAGATCCAGATTTAGGCACATGCAACTGAGCAGGTGGAAGTAGATAACCCTCTGTGGCACAGAGACGGTCAGGTTAACCTGATGAAAGGTTATATAGGGAATATATTCTATTGGGAAGGGGTGTCCCCCAAATTGGGAGAAGGTACCCTCCATGAGTCAAGCTCTGCTCATGAAATGTTCCTTTGTTTGATTCTGTGGGTCCCTTCCCCCTGCACCACAGTCTACCCTATTCAGCAGAGTTCTGTAACCCTCTATCTGCCATTTACAGAGAGCTGGAGTGGATGACATGAGAAGGAAATAGCAGGGAAATATGCTTTCATAAATCTGGATACCCCTTGTCTGCAAGCCAACCTACAAAATTTGTTTAACCCACACCAATACTGCAATTCAAGACTCAAACAGGACAACTACTTGAGGCTCATGCAACTACATGAGGTTCTATCATTAAACACTGTGTACTCCCTTTATTACTGTGACCACACAATAATGCCATTCTTTCATTGCTTGTCTTCAACAAGTACCAGCTAGATACTTCTGTAGTGGAAAATAGGCCACAGAATAAAGATAGTGCTCCTAACATTAACACAGAGCCATTTGATTAGAGATTGAAGGTGCTGTTAGCAAAGTGAGGTAAATGCCATTTATTTACATCATGGTCAGTCAATTAAGAAAGCAAGCTACATATTAAATTGCTAATACAGTCTACATTGTTGAGATTAATTAAAAGCAGCAGGTCAGAATTAGGTATTATTCAACAGGGATTCTAACACATAAGGAGAATTATAACTTAGGCTGTATTTT